GGGTATTGTAAGCAGTAGAGTAGCCTTAGTGCTACGATCTGCTGAGATTAAGCCCTTGTTCAACAGATTTGTTTCCTTTTCTGTTTAGTGTCAAGGTGTTCATTTAGAGCACGACTTTCGAGAATTTATAGATTTCAAGAATACGATTTATGCAATATACTAATAATTTTATTTCTATATTAATTTTACTTTTTTTTCATTTAGTCATTATATCATCAGGAAATTTATAAGGCGAAAGTTTCCGAAGGTGTCCGCAAATTTTCATGCGTTTTTTAACTTCGCTCGCGATTTTCTACTAGTTTCTAAGATAGATAATATACGTCAGCAGTTGAGAAGAAATCAAGTTCCAGTTTAATTTGATTTTTTTTCTATTATATGATACATATAGTAAATTTTTGTATATATCTCGAGTACATTTTTCCGTCCAACTTTGTTTTCAATTTTACTTTTAGAATTGGTACTAAAAGATGGAATTTGGTATAATTATTCAGAATAAAAAATAATTGTTAATAATTAATAATAAAATTAATTCCATGGTGACCGTCGTGTTATATGATATTAATTAGGAAACATCCAAGAACTTTAATTTTCCATTTATAAAGATGGTATAACTATTAACAGTCCGTGTTGGTTATATTGTGCACTCGTTTTACTACAAAAATTACTATTAGACATACCAACGGTATCGAAAAATTGCTTCATATATAATAACGACAGTAACTTTTGAATCAGTGTTTTCGAATTTTTGTACTATATTGCACGTTCCGCACATCGAATTTCAAACTCCGCACAAAAAAAAGGCATCCGCAAATAGAATTCTAAATTGTGTATATTCCGCACAAGATTTAAAATTTCAAACATTGCTTTGAATACTTAAAAATAATGATAACATCAATTTCTTATACAAGGCTCTCTTAATGTATTAAATTTGTTGCCGAAAAATAAAAAATATCCTAAAATTAATTTGAATTATTGACATCATCATCATCATTATTATACTTTTATTGGGGGATAAGCAAATTTATTTAACAGACATCACAAATTATTATTTTATTATTATACAAAAAAATTTTAAATCACATTTATATTTATTCCCGGATTTTATAGGTTATATGCAAAACGCAACTTGTTTATTAATAACGTATAATTTCACAATATATATTTTTTTTATCAAAAATGACCTACACCATTATTCATTTCACCTTGCATTTTGTTAGTCGCGAGTTCTATAAATGATTGTGCTTCTTGAACACGAGCACTAAGTTGATTGGCTGTTGTGTCAATCCATTGAAGTGATGTAAGATGTGAATTAAGAATTCGAACAACTTCGTCAACCTAAATAAATAAAATAAATAATAATCGATTATAAATTATAATAGTTAATTAGTTAATATATGTAAGTTAATAAATAAATCAATCAAATCATTAATTACCGGATCTTCATCAGGTTCATCTAGCCCTATTTCCTGTTCTTCATCAGTTGATGATGATGCACGAGGACCATAAGTCGATGATGTAGTGCTTCGGTTCATATCAGTAATCATGTCGGATAGAGTTTGATTCATATTGTCAAGATCTTGATTAATCGATTCAGCTAGTGAATAACTAATGTGTTGTGAGATATAATAGATTTGGTAATGATAGATTAAAAGTATTAAAAGTTAATAATTTTTATATAGATAGATAGATAGATAGATAGATATACTAAATACTAACGATTTTTCCCTCTCCCTATCCAGTGGTTTCATTGATTCAAATGCGGGATCGGCGAATTTTTGTTCATATTCAAGTAATAATTTTTCAAGTTCTTCTTGTCGAGCTTCAATAGTAGTTAACCCGATATCAAGTTCACCCTGAATTGAATTTGCTTTATTAATATGATTACCAAGTCTTGTTACCTAAACAAATAAATAAAAATTTATAAATATTAATAAATAAATATTAATAAATAAAAATTAATTAATCAACCAATAATAAGTAAATCTTTTATATAATGTCGATTACATTAGATTGATATTTACCCTGCCATTATTTTCAATAATTTTTTGATCCCATTGATTAATTTCTCGAACTTGTTCCATAAACTTTTTAGAACAATTTTCTAAATCTTTTGACCATTTATTAATTATAGTTTCAATTGTATTATTTTTTAACCAAGATGGAATTTGATCAGGAACTCTCGCTGGTGTTGTTGATTGTATTGTAACTAAAGGTTTCGAAGTTGCAGGAATCGATATATTGTTTGATGGTTTGTTTAATTGAATTGGGGCTGTAGATTTGGTGGTAGTTGTTGATTGTAAACTATTACCGAGAGATCTTTGACCTAATGTTGATGATGCCGTTGAACCAAAGGGTGTGGTAATAGTTGGCATGCTCGTTTTTGGAATATTAACATCGGAAGATCTATTTTGTACTAAATTATTTAAAAATTATTATTATTATTATTATTATTTAAATTAATTAAATTAATTATCTTATTATTATTTATCTAGTGAATAATTTGTTCAAAAGTAAAAATTACCTGTAGATTGTGAAAACAATGATTGTCCACCACTTGGTAAAGATGTCTTTAAAGTATCAAATTTATTGGTAACAGTTGTACTATTTTGATTCAATATTCCTCCAAGAGTATTATTTGAACTTGGAGCTGCTGATGAAGCTGTTTGGGTTGATTGAGTTGGTTGTGAAATACTACCAAGTCTAGAAAAAATACCACCACCACCTCCTATTCCCCCCCCTCCTCCTCCTAAAGTAGGAGGATTTGATATCTTGGATGGATCTCCGGTAGATATAGTAGATGTTGTTGTTGATTTATTAAAACCACTGAATGATGTAAAAGCTAAAGTTGATTGACTTGGTTGAGTTGATTGACTTGGTTGAGTTGGTTGGGTTGATTGACTTGATTGACTTGCTCGGTTTGCTTGATTTGTAATTGTATTCGATGCTGCTGATGTTTGTCCTAAACTACCAAATGCACCAAGACCTCCAAAGGGAGCAGATGAAAATAATGAAGTAGATTGAGTATTTGTAGATTTACCGAAACCAAGAGTAGGTTGACTTTTTTGATTAGCATCTGTTTGATTAAATGAAGAAAAACTTGCGGTAGCGGTAGATGTGGTAGCAGTAGACGTGGTAGCGGTTGAAGTTTTGAAACCTCCAAAAAATCCTGTACTACCACCACCTCCTCCTCCACCAGGTTTATCTCCAAATAATGATGAACCACCTGAACCAGTATTATTACCAATAGTATTATTATTATTATTATTATTATTAAATCCAAATGCTGATTGTGGTTTACTGGTAGTGTTGTTGTTGTTATTAGTATCAATTGTAGTTTTAGGAAAAACACTACCAAGTGTAGGTGTAGCTGTAGTAGAAAATCCTCCAAGACTTGAAGTAGCAGCTGAAGCTGTAGATCCTGAAGATGATCCTAAATTACCAAATGGTCCTGTACCTCCTCCTCCTCCAATTTGGGGAGTAGTATCCGATTTATTAAAAAGCGTTCCTTGTTGCGTGGGAGCTTGTTGTTGTGTTTTTTGTTGGAGCGAGAATAAATTTGCTCCCCCTCCTCCTCCACCTCCACCTCCACCAAAAGGAGTAGGAGTATTCTTTTGTTGATTAAAAATACTTGATCCGAATGTACTTGTTGAAGGATTTTGCCAAGCTCGAAAACCAGAAGCATCAGTTTGTCCAAATATCGATGGAGTAGAATTTTGTCCTCCTTGTTCGGAATGAGTACCTTGACCATGTGGTTGCTGCTGCTGCTGCTGCTGTTGTTGTTGTTGTTGTTGTTGTCCAAATGGCTGTGAAGGTTGTTGTTGTCCAAATGGTTGTGAAGGTTGTTGTTGACCACCACCACCACCGAATCCAAAATTAGCGGCTTTAAAAAAAATAAATTCACATTAATCAACACGTCCGATTAAATCTAATTAAAGCTAAATTGGGGAGATAAAACGTACCCATTTTCGTGATTTGACTTGAAATTTGAAATAAAAGTAATAAAAGTTTTTTTAATCAATTTAAATTCTCTCGATATTTATGGTATTTTTGATGAAATTTAATTGGTCAATTCACTTCTTATGACTTTTTATGTACTTTACAGTATACTTATATATATATATATATTTTTGATTTTTTTGATTTCAAGAAAAAGAATAGAGTTCGCAACGGATTTATACAGATGTCTATAATGGTTGTGCACTCATGCTTTATTAAAATATATTATTAAAATATAATTAAAATTAAAATATAATCTTATTTAATATTATTAAAATATTATTTATTTAAAAATTCACAACCTTTAAAAAATAGGATCAAACTGGTAAACCTAAAACACCAAAGCCAATACCTGAACATGATCGTGTAAAACACGAATTGACAGGCCCGTTGGTTTTCCAATGCCTGAAATGCAAAGTAATTGTCGGCGATTCTTTCGCGTGGGTTACAGCAGACAAAGATTTAAATTCTATTTCATTATACGGTCAGAGAAAATTTAATGACGCGTTTTTTTTTTAATACACTAACAAAACGACCCATTATAATGAATTTATTAAACTATTATCAATTAATGAATTTAAATTGAATTATTATTATTAATTCATGCATACATACAGCCAAACCACATAACATAAGAGTTGGCACGGAGTTATTATGGTCCAAGGAAGGAATTGACGTTGGAAGTACATATATATTAATGTATTGTGATGGATGTAATAATATCCTTGGTAAAGTTTGGCGTACCACGCCTCGCAAACTTGATTATTTACGGTAAATAATTTTTATCCTGCATAAAAAAAAAAAAATTAAATTAAATTTCAAGATACAATCATCATCATCATTATCACCAACTTTTGGTTAATAACATAATTAACTACAGTTTTCCTTTCTAAGTGACCTTTACACTATTAATCTTGATGGTATCTCAATGTAAATATTATTTACCTTTTTTTTATTTTTATTTTACTTTAATTCTAAACATCTCTCTTTTATTCTAACCATTTCTATTTTCTCTTTTATATTCTAAATATTTTGATTTCTCTTTATTAAAATTTGATTAGATACGCGTTGGGTGCATATCTTGATCCTAATACTACACCATCAGATGTTCATACTTTGCCGAGTGCTAGAATGCAACAAGTGACCATCAATAAGGTATTATTTAATTTTATGTCCTCTCTCATACCGAGAGAGAAAAAATATAGAAATAATGATCTTCAAATATATTCTTAAAAATAATTCAGCTTCAAGATATGGTCTTATTATTACATCAAAGACTTTCAGCTATGGAATGTAATACAGGACAACAACAACAAAATTTGGATTCTGGTTCTATTGGATCTTCATACGAAAGCTTGAATCAGAATATTCATAATGGTAATCGATAATAATTTTATTAAATATGTTTTTAAATTTGTTTGTTCATTTTGTTTTATGTTTGCTTTTCTTTCTCTTTTTTTCTTTCCCTTTCTTTCCTTTATATTTTCTATTAGGAAATCGAAACATCAATCAAAAACCTAATTATCGTTTCTAAATATTATAAAATAATAAAATAGATACATATTAATAGAGTTCATCATTACATCATTACTAGAGAATATCTATCTCACTAATATTACTTCGTGTGATGAAGATAAAATTTCATTTCTTTAGTGTTCTTTTATATAAATATTATTTCTTTTTCTTTTATTTGTTTTTTTTAATTGTGTATTAATTCTGTATATTTTTGGAATAAGAAAAAAAAAGTATTTTAATTAAAATTTAAGAAAAAAAAAAATTAGAAGCCAGATATTACCATCTTTTCTTTCAATATTCTCAAATTGGGGGTAAAACAACTGATCATATTTTTATAATTCAATTCTATTTTTTCCAATACTTATCAGTTCTACGTCAAATATAAGAGCTGCATTTTCTATTTAAAAAATAAAATAATAATAATAATAAATTATGGAATAGAAAAATTATAATAAAAAAATTATCGTAAAAGAAATTATAAATCTTAATAATTACCGGGAATAACAGGAGGACTTCCTCTTTTTCCATAAGCAAGATCAGCCGGAATGATTAATTTTCTCTTTTCTCCAATGCACATACTTTAATATAAAAGGTGAAAATATGAATAAATAATAATTATAATTATAATTATTATTATTATTATTAATGAAAAAAAAAAATAGTTACCCTATCAAACCTTGATCCCATCCTTTTTTTTAATACAAATATAACAATATAACAAAGATTCAATATATGTACAAAATATTCATATGTATATAATGTTGACTTGAAAATTCATTTTTACGAATACAACAGCAAACCTTTTATAACTTGTCCAATACCTGAAGTCATAATAAATACACACAAAAAAAAAAAGATCGAATTAATTAAACAAATAATAAATACACAAAAAAAAAAAAAAGTAAAAATGACAAAATTTATATTTACCCAAAGTAAAAGTGAAAGGTTCTCCCCTAGTAATACTAGAATCGAATTCTTTTCCATCCTCAAATAAAACTCCCGTATAATGAACGGCTATTGAATCACTTTATGAATATTATTATTATTATGAAATTAAATATTAAAAAATGATAAATAGCCAAAATTTCAGAAAAAAAAAATAATTTTATAATGAAATCTTATTTTTTTTACCCATTTTGAGTCTTCTTACTACATTGTCCTTCCGGAATTCGTTTCTTAATACCTTTAAATAAATAATTATATATATAATTTTTTTTTTAACCAATTCTATGATTCTATTAATTTCATGTAAAATGAATTTCTTTTTTTTGTAAAGTTTTACCAATTTGCAAGGTTTTAGGAGGTTCCTTAGCTTCAACCGAACTATTAATGTTTAAAAAAACAGCAATAATTATAAAAGCGAACAACGATGAAATTAATATCTTTCGAGACATTTTTTTTTTTTTTTTTTTGAAATTTCGGTACGATTGTTATCTGCAATAATACAATTTTACAGTGCATGTTCCTATATATATATACCCAATTTTCCTAATTTCCGAAAAAAAAACATTGTCCGTTGTGATACAAATTACAAATAAACAAATTATCGATCAATAAATTTTTTTTTGCTCGAAAATGTCTTCATTGCTTGGTCTCTTTGCGAGGTTTTCTCATCCATCACGTACACTCCAATCTTCTCCTGTCTTTTTCAAGTTGAGAAAAAAGGATGCAGTAAATATGTACTCGCTGAGAGTGAATTTCCAACCAGCTTTATCTAAGGATCATGTTATAAGAATATCAATTCTTTATGATAACATTTTTCTTAATATTCAATTTTCTTATTTTTTCATGCTATATAAAAACTAAAAATCGGACAAATCGACCATCCTATTATTTCCTATTCTAAGCCGTCTATTCTTTTGTATTTGATCTGTGGATAAGAGTAAAAAACATTTTTCTACCCTTATCGGGTACCAGATAAGGGTTACATATCTGGTACCAAATAGGGGTAGTATTTTTAAAATTTCTTCATATTTTTATAATGCAATAATTTATAAAGAATATTAGGAAGAATTTGCAAATAAAATCAATTGTAATTGAAAGACAGCAGATAATAAATCTAATAGTGGTTTAAATTTTGCAGAGCCAGGTGGAAAACATGAAATGTTGAAAGCATTAATTAAAATTTGGCAATGTATTAGTATTAGAGATTTTTTAAAAAAATTAAAATATTTCATTTTTAAAATATATAAATTAGAAATTTTTAAAATAAATTAATTAAAATATTTCAACATTTTAAAATATTTTGAAATAACAAATTACTTTTGTTTTTAACTATATGCAAATATTTATTAAACATAAGTATAAAAAAATTATATTAAAGTATATTATTGAAATATAGATATTTATATTTGAATATCCATTCAAAATTTAAATGCCTATATTTCCTTTAATTTGTGAACTTTAGGTCTAAACTTTTTTTTCAGTAGGTGCTTTCCTTTATTAGCTATAAGTTTACTTAATAACGTTTTTGATGTTTTTCTAATAAAAAAAAAAAGTAAAAACGATCGATTTTTCTTTTTTATTATCGCCAAAAAATCGGATGGCCGATTTGCAAATCAGACAGCCGATTTTTGATCATTCGATCAGTGTTTGCAATCGAAGTACAAGCATCTTTGAGAATTGGGTCATATAGAATAAATTTAAAACTTTAAATATTCCGTAATCATTGCATTTGTGATTTTTGATGTCAATTGCACGAATCGTAATGTTAAATAAATCACTTATTTTTCCGATGAAAGAGATAACCAATTCGGGCAAACTAACAAACGCTTTTTTTTTTAATAATCTTATGGCAATGCTAAACTAATTAATTCACAAATTTTTTACATACATTGTGATATCATATAAGAATATGCTACGCAATAATTATTAGTTTCTTAAACCATCTATTATATTATACTATAAATGCACGGATAATTTCATCTCGAACAAAGGAGAAATCCAGTACAATAGGATCGGGGAGAATATTTCGTGGTATTTGGATACCAGGGTATGCTTGATTGTAGAGACAATCCAAATAGATCTTGATGAGTCATGTGCCTCGTGGAATATTTAACGGATTTCCGTTCATCATGAGTACCAAATTCGAACTATAAACCATCCATATTAAAAATTTTGAAAAATTGATAGAAAATAAATTTAACATTACATGAGTTCGATGTTGGAGTCCTCCTCCTCTTGTTCTTCTGTCCGTGGAACAAAAGTGCCATGCCTAAATGGGTTTATTATTAGGATGATACACAAGCAATAAAATGCCACTTACACTTTTGGGAAGTATACCTTACTTGCATGTGTGACATCCTGCCCTCAGAAACTGACTCAATTTTAACAACTATCGCGTTATGTGCGCGACTAAAATCCTTTAGCCAATAACTTTTTACCTTCTCAAAGACATGATTTATGCTTTCAGAATATGCAACTTCTACGATGATATTTGGCCATGGTTCGCTCTGAAATCATGGAATGTAAATTACAATGTCAAGGGGTCCCAAACCAATAAAAAAAATAAAAGGTACATCTCCGTCATTTCTGGTTGGTGCTGGTATTCGTGGTTTCATAGGGCGAAATGACGCATCTGCTTCTTTTCCAGAATTATCAATACGAGTTCCTTTAAGAAAGAATATTAATTTGATATCATGAAATAGGACTGAGATAGTTAATTAACTAATGCTTACGAGTTGACCTAGGTTTTATGATTCCGGCATTTGTTCCTTTAACAGGAATGCATTTCTCAACTATTTCTGAAGTAATTGCACCAATACAAGTTTCACGTGGCTTTACTGGAATTTCATAAACCGAGACTTTATAGTTCGCCCATTCCCATAAACCATGAACGTTAAACTTGTCGGTGCGACGTTCATACTCGTCTAATGTAACTCCCTCAGCGAGCACGTATGGAAGTCTTGATGCAATTAGCAAAAAATTAGTCTTTCTCATATATAACTGACCCACCATGAAAAAACTTACGTAGCTTCCTTCCACTTTGCTTCTGGATGAATATTTCCTTCCACCATAGGCTTCGAAAATAGGTAAAATCCGGCATTTTTTGTTTTGAAACGGTGTCATCGGTTCTGACATTAATAACTGGAAGTTTAGCAAAAAGAAAAAGTACCAGTTGAACATAATTATCTACTCACGCTGTCGTAATAGAGCTTTGTACTCTGCTAACATTGAAACATATATAAACAAAAAAAATGTTATCAGCCCTATAACGGAATAAAACCTAAAGTACTAGCTCTTAAGGGATATCTTAGGTGATTTTTATTTTAAGACTAAATTATATATATAATATATTATATCACCAGTTTCACCAATGATGATGGGTGATTGGTGACAGATGAAATTTTCTCCCTTTCCTTATTAATATGATTTAATCAACTTTCGAACCCTTCCGCCATAGAATACTCAACTTACTCTACAACCATTAATATTCTACTTCACAACAAAGATAAAAGTGTCAAAAATTAATATATACCAAACATTCATCTATGTTAAACGTTCCGATCTCACGATATCCATCATTGATGCTAATGCAATTATTGTGCTTAAAATCAATGTTATTGGAAGAATGACCAGTTGTACAATATATTATTCCATACCTCGTCTCAAGAAAAAGAAATATGTATTGTTTCATCAACCTATAAAAATTTATCATTTCACATATTTCACATGATTCGTAAACCAAATAATATTTATATCGTGTAATAAAAATAATAATAGTGACTCAGCAATTAGTTATTCTTTATAATAATTAGAATGATTTTATGATTAATCTGTAATAAATCCTTTAAGCGGGAACTGGTTATCCTAATAAATGAATAATTTATTATAATCAAAATCAATTTCTTCATTAAAGCATCACAACGAACGTAAATCTACAATGACTACCACTCAAGGGCCAAGTAACACCAATAATGGTAATGTTGGCAATAAAGATAATACAGAAAATATTGACAATAACGGAAGTAATAGTAATAATAACGGACAGCATCATATACTTTCTGAAACTCAACAAAATAATCAATCTTCCTCTTCACAATCACCAACACCACCACCACCACAACAGCAACAACAGCAACAACAGCAACAACAGCAGCAACAACAACAACAACAACAGCAGCAGCAGCAGCAACAACAACAAAAACAACAACAACAACAACAATCACCACGACCAAAATCAAAAAAACCTTTGAAAATACTTGCTATAGGTTCAGCATATGAAGATACAATCTTATATGTTGATAAATTTCCTCCTGAAGACGGTAAACAACGTGCTCAATGTGTTGAAAAACGAAGAGGTGGTAACGCAGGTAATACATTAGCTGTGTTATCTCAATTTCCTTTGGTGAATGCTAATTTTATGGCATCAATGGCTAGTAAGGAAGCATCTACGTGAGTGTATTATATTGAATATCAAAGTGTACATTATTCAAATCTTATTGAAAAAAATATAATTAATAATATAATTCTTTAATTATCTTTGCAGTTTTATAATTCAAGATTTCGATGCACATAATATAAAAACTTCAACATGTATATTTAGACCTAATGCAACTCATGCCCCGGTAGCATATATCATTCAGGCTGAAAGTACAAGTTCTAGAACTATTATAAATTACAATAGGTAAATTTAATAGGGGTTAATAATTTTCTTTATGATATTTTCAAGAAAATTTCTAACATTTCTGATATTTTAATTGTTTAAAATATAAATAACAACAGTATTGATGAATTGACTTTTGATGAATTCAAAAGAAAATTTGATACAGTCTGTAATGAGGAAATTCCATTTAATTGGATTCATTTTGAGGGACGTAATGCAGCTGAAGAAACAAAGATGATTGATTATATTGACACTATGGCTTGGAGAAAAAATACAATAATAAGTGTAGAACTAGAGAAACCTTATAGGAAAGGATTAGAAAATTTGATGCAAAGAGCTGATGTACTGTTTTTTTCTAAGGTTTTTGCAGAAGGCAAAGGGTATGATCACGCAAGTGATTTTTTACAAGTGATGAGTCCATTCTGTAAAGACACGTGAGTATAATTCTTTTTAATTTTTAATTTTTTTCTTTTTAATTTTTTTAATTCTTTTTTAATTCTTTTTATAAATTAGTGCACATTTATTTTGTACTTGGGGAAATTCAGGTGCAATGTGTTTTTACAATCCTATTCAAAAATTATATTCATCCTCAGCTTTACCTATACCAAGTGTAGTAGATTCAGTAGGAGCTGGTGATACATTTATAGCTGGTGCAATATATGGATTATCACAAGAAATGTCACAAGAAGGATGTTTAAAATTTGCTTGTGAATTGGCAGGTAGAAAATGTGCACAAATAGGATTTGATGGAGTGGTAGAGAAGTTAAATAAACCATTTTGATCTTTTTTAATTTTTACTAAAATTTTTTGAAAGTTTGTAATCACAAGATAAATGTGATAAAAAGTGATAATTTATATAGAAAAGTATTTGAAAGTATCACCATTAATATTATAATTTTATTATATTTTGTACTACCCAATTAATAATATAATTGTTCTAATTGTAATGTAATTTCCTATTATATAGATATTGTAGATATTTTCTTATACTTTATTAGACTGAAAAAATAAAATGATTTATTAATAATCATTAATAATTTATATATAACAAAAAAAAAAAAAGACTATTCTAGATTATTAAAATTATTACTTTATTAAATCATATTTATGTATTATATGCTTATTTTGCTTAACATCTATCAAATATTAATTACTATATTATATTCATTTTTTAAAGAAATGAAAGTAAAATAATTATAAAAAAAAAATTAAATTAAAAAATTAAGAAGAAAAAAAGAACAATAAAAAAAATTATATTAAATAATTAATTTTTCATTCTATTTACTAAAAATGAAATTCTAAATAAAACATATCATTATGTATTTATTAAGTAAGAAGAAAGATATATATGGATATACGTAAATTATTATTTAAAAAAGAAATATTTTATTATTATTATTATTATAATAATAAATAATTTAAATATTTATATAAAAATAGATAAGTAAAGAAAAAGAAAAATTCCGTCAAAAAATTTCCGCAATATTATTATTTTTTAAAATCCAAATAATTACCTACAATAATAATAATCAATTGACTATTAATTAATTATATATATATATATATATATATTTATATTTTTTATATTTTTATATATATAGCCACACAATGCAAATTAATTATTCATTAGAAAAAAAAAAATTAAAAAAAATTTTTTTTTCAGTTTTGGTTTACTTTTTAAAAAAATCACGCATATTTTTTTTTTTGCCTTCACCTATTTTTTTGAAAAATACTAACTACAATGCAAGATTTTTTTTTTTTTTGAAAAAGAAATATAATTTTTTTTTGTTATCTATTGCGTATTTAAGTGAATAAGTGGATCTGAAAAAATTATGTTTTTTTTGAACAAAAAGGGGAAAGGGGAAAGGGAAAAAAAACTATACTACAAAGAAAAAAGAGAATTTTGTGAGTGAGGAAAATGAAAAAAAAATAAGACAAGGTTTTGAAGATTTAATTGGAAAAAATGTATGTAATGTAAAGAAGAAAAAATAATAAATGCAAAAGTGGCAAAAAGTCGATATAATAATATATGACTCTAATTCCTTATTATCTAACAATAATTATTTAAATCTTAAACAACATTAACAGGATCAAGAATAATAATAATCTATGTTATATTAAAAAGTCAACCCAATAGATAAAAAAAAATTAATTTGGTTGAAATAATAATAATAATGATATACATTTCAAAACCTAATTTTGAAATTATGATGAATGAATTTGAATTGACGCAACAGAAACCAAAACAGAATCAAAAAAAAAAAAAAAAAGATTTCAAAATACAATTTCAAAAAAAAATTCACAAAAATTTAAAAAAAATTCACCAAGTAAAATACAAAAAAAAAAAAAATGTAAATATGTTAATAATATACTAAATACGATAAAACTTAACTTTCAAAAAATATATATGTGTAAAATTAATAAATAGATTCCAAAAAAATTTCTCTGGTGCCTAAAAACAAATTTCTACTGAAATTATTTTAAGGACTCGGTCAATTTCGGCCAATTATAGCAGCGTCAACAAATTATATAAAGTCCACCAATTACAGTAGCGTCCAATAATTATAGTATCCATTTATATAGCGTATTTAGAGTAATTTACCATCTACTAAACGCCATTCCATCTTGTTGAAGTTCTAATTGCATCGGTAAATGTTGTGGAGCTACAGATGTATAATTGAGGAAATCTATTATATATAAATTTACATTAGTTCATTATACTGAATTACAAAGTATTTAAATGAAAAATTTATAAATAAATAAATAAATAAATAAATAAAAAAAACACAAACCGTCAGATTTTAACATCATATGTTCATCTTGTAATTGATGTTGTGAATTAAAATCAAATCCCAATGTTTGTTGTGTAAGAATTCCAGTTACGGTTTCATTTGATAATAGTGAACCATTCGATTGCCTTTCAACTTTATTCTCATTATCTGATTCTTGTTTAAGCAATACATTTTGTGCTTCATCTGTATCAGAAACACTCAATCTCATCATATCGGGGCCTATGGACATTAAATTCATAGGATTAATGAAATCATAATCTACAAATTCGGTGGTCATGGGTGGGGCTGATGATGGCGGTTGTTGGAATGCTTGATCAAATTCTGTTGTGGTGGGCGGAGCTGATGATGGTTGTTGTTGTCCGAACATTTCTTGTGATTGTTGTTGTGTGGTCGCTTGTTCCATCATCATAATTGAATGTGATTGAACTGTTGCTTCTTCTATATTATGTGACATTAATGGTTGTATCCCAACATTTTGAAATTGCCATTCATCTCCTTCCGAGTAAGCATTATTTCCATTAAAACCAGTTCGTCCATTACCCAGCCCGCTGGGCATCATTCGGGGACTGCCTGGAATACTAACACTTCCATAAGGACTAAAGCGTCTAGAATGCATAGGCGGACTAGATATATTTAAATTTGCGATACGACTTTGTAATGAGATTCCAGATGGTGATGTTGGAGTAGATATCATTTGATTAAATTGTGAACTATTATTATTTTTTAATTGATTATTATTATTCTTCATAGCTTTAACATATTCCACTTCTTCTTGAAGTCTTTGCATCAAAACTGCCTTTTTACCAGTAGCTGGTTTTCCTCTTTGACGTAACATCTCCTTAAGTTCACTTACTGTAATATCTTCAAAATCAACTTTTTCAAGTTCTTCATCTAATTTTCTTTGATATTCTTCAGATGACATTATAGTAGTAGAATGTGAATGTTTAGGATTTCGTTGAATTTGAATTGGTAATGCATTAGGTCTACGAGCGTAAGATGCCATAGAAAAATTAAGTGGAATTGATTGCGCTGGTTGTAAAGGAACTGATCCTGGTATATGATGTGTAAGATTTTGGAAAGGAGTAGTAGGTGCAGATAATGATCTTTTACGCGTATGACCACGACGAGGAGGATTTAAAGTTTGTTTGGCTACATTTGGTGGTTTTTCATTAGGAAACGTTGGTGTACTAGGTGTAGATAAGGATGATGATGAAATATCCATTATTGGTACACCACCTGAACCACCATTTTGATTTGTTTTTGATTGAAGAATTGCACCATGAGCTACTGCAGCTAATTGTATATTGGGCATACTCCTTTGAGTTCTTTTATCAAGTTTAACCTTAAATCTGGCTTGTAATTCACTAAGTTTTTGTGCATGATTAATTGGTCCGATTTGTTGATGTGATACAGATCTTGATAAATGAGGACGAGTTGCGTGATTATTTTGTGGAGATGGACTTGAGGTTCGAGAATTTTGACGACGATTATTATTATTACGATCGTTATCATTATTATCATTATTAATATTCGGTTGATTCTCAATTTGCACATTTTGGGAAATACAAGCTTCTTGTTTTAAAAGTTGTATTTGAATTGCTGGAGGAATCGTTCTATCAAATGAAATCTGTTCTGAATGTTGTTGAATAGGATAAATCATCTTACGATTATTTACTAATTGTTGGGATTTTGCCAAGGCATGTATGTTATCGGCGGATAAACTTCTACGTCGGATAGTTAAATAATTGGGTATATTACTTTTTTGTAAAGGACCCGGGGTTTGAGCACGATTTTGTTCGTTAAGATTAGATGATATGTTAGATTCATTATTTTGTTCAGAATCTGTATCAGAAGATGAATTAGATAATGGCGTATGAACTTGTTGTATTTCATCTTGTTGATTTAATTGTAAAGAAGATTCCGTATTTTGATCAAGTATCCATGAGCTACCTTCATCAACAAAATTCGATGACATTAGATCATCAACGAAAACATTGGCAGAGAAATTGGTATCATTTACTAAACCGCACATATCATCGTTCGCATAAAGCTGTTGTTGCCAATCATCTGGTAAAGAATTACCAAGAATATTGTTATCGAAGGTCTGAAAAGCAAAACCGTTCGTCTCGGCAATTTGAAAACGTTGAACCATATTTGATGAGTTCAACTGTTCTTGAATTTCGTCTAGTTGTTCTTGGTTATATTGTTGCTGCTGTTGTTGTTGCTGTTCTTCTAGAAAATTCTGAGTGGCAAAATGATCCTCAGCAGACGATGGATGAAAAGCTTGAGTGAGGAGCGTATCCGACGCTGGATTCCTTTGAGCATACATGATTTTATATTCTATAAATGAATATGCGTATTAAGTTTAGGTAATATATGGGAAGGCGGTAATAATGAAGTCGGTAAAAACAGAGATCTAGACAATATAATAAAATCGTATAAGAAAAAAAAAAAAAAAAAACTCCAAAATGAGACTAAAATGAGAAAGTTAGAAAGAAAGAACTTTATTTAATAATGATCTTACTAATTTTTATTTTTTTATTTTTTATTCTATTTAAAGTCTCGAATAATAATCCGAGATAATCTAGTAGACTTTTCTGTAGATGGTTAAAAAGTCTTCAGTAATACACTAAAATAGAAGGGAATCCGAAAAAAAAAATAATAAATGGTTGGAGTGGTTAAACAGGGATATAAATATAAAAAGTGGAAAAATATTTGGCCTGCATAAATACATAAATAATATTTATAATATATATTTCAACCAAAGAAAACAACAGATGTCGAATAAGCCGCATAGATATTTAATAGATACCTCAAAAGAGACTAAACGTTAATAGAACGACTAGTGAAGTTTAAAAGAAAGTAAAGAAAGAATGATATTATTCTCGTCGAACTTAAAAAATTTTTTTTTTTAAAAAAAAAAAATAACGCAGCCTAATAATTAAAGGGCTAGAGAAGTCCACAACAACGTATAAAAGATACTAAAAGAAAGAGAGTTCTGTCCTTTTTAAAGGGACTTTCGGAATAGGTGTAAGAACCGTTGTATGATATCGCACACCTTTATACGAAGGAATGGGTAGAAAAAAAAAAATAGAGCGTGCGTTGGGTAAGGGATATGTTTCGCAATAACGCTTTTATAAATCTGTTATGGACATCAATTGTGTGTATCCAAAACTTGTAGTAGAGAAAAGTAAATTCGAAAGTTCTCTAGCCAAAGCAGTGGACTAGATACCTTGCATTTGGCTAGAAAAGGAACTTGGAGTAACCCAGATGTTAGTTGAGCAACATCAGCCGAAAGTGAGAAACATAAAATTTAACAAAAAAGTAAAATAAGTGACCACAAGATCCTCGAGCGTGACCGCGTTATGCCGTGTTATGCCATGTTTTGCCACGTTGCATTTGATCCCACCTCGGTTAATTTCGGTTAAATGATTAAAATGAACTAAAATGAAAGCGGTTCTCCGAGTCTTCTTTGATGATCAAATTTTTGTTTTGTTGTTGTTGTTGTTTTTTTTTTTGTTTTTGCATTTCCCTCCACCGGGAAAATCTATTGCATAATTCCCTGCAAAACTAAAAGGATTTGCCTTACTCTTTACATGTATAACATTATAAACTAAACATGCATGGTTTACATATTATGCGTCTTTAATGAGATATAACAATGGAAGAGAAAGGAGGTGAAAAAAAAGTTTTAATTTTTAAATAGTATTTAAAACACATGACAAATAAAGTTCAAAAAAAAAAAACAAATATTTTTGATATTTGAGTTAGTTGTACCACTATTTTTTATAAATTTAGATTTTTTATTTACAAATTTGTAAATTTCAATATAAATCTGAAACAAAACAAATATTATTATTTATAATGTATCATTTTCTAATTTATATGTAAGCAAACTTCTCCTGCAACTGATTCAATTGACCTAAATATTGCAAAGTGCTATTAATAGATTCCTAAATATTGTCAAGTAATACAAGAAAGATTATAGAATATTCTAAACATTCCAAGATATTGCCAAGCAATCCAATGAAATATTTCAAACTATTAATAAATGATCTACAGACCTGACCTTAATTTTTTTTTTTATTAAAATCATAAATATATAAATGATTCTGAATGAATAATATTGAAAAGTGTATAAAGTGTATGCATAATTATGATAATGAAATACAGAATTGTCTTAATTATTTGAATAATAATAATAAATTTGGGAAAAAGATTTGTTGCTATATATATGTATATATTGAATTATATATTGAATTATATATTGAATAAATACAAAATATAAAAAGAGCAACAAAAAAGGTATGAGTAAATGAAAATATAATAAGCCACCATATTTTCATTTCTTTTTAATATTATATTAATATTATATTTAATATTAAAATTAACCTAACAAATGGTTCTTGAATTCGAATTATTATTTGTTGTTGTTGTCCCTTCGGTAAATTCATTTTGAGACTTTGGATATATTAATTCTTTCGTTTCATCTGATTTTCCATAATTACTAGTAAGACTCCCTTCAAATCCGCTGTCTTCAACGCCATATGCGAAATCCTTATCATGTAATAACTCGGAATCATCAGAAATATGAAATCCTGGGTTAATTGAAGGATTAAAATGTTTTCCTATAGATGAAGTGTCTGACCCTATTAATAAATTCAATTGATCACTATTATTATTATTATTATTATTATTATTGTTATTATTTCGCCGAAATTTAAGAGGACCAGATTTTTCGCTATCAAATTTGTCATACTCTTCATTATCTTGAGAATTTTCGCATGAATGTCTATTACTAATGATGACTTCTTTATCATCATCTAATGTTGACAGTGGAGATCGACCTTTGGAACTAATATTGTATGCATCTTCTGTAGATACTTCAGATAATGTCGTTACACTATTAAGTTCAGGTATAGGATTGATAATAGGAACAGGTGGAAGAACACTAAATATTTCTGAAGATTGTTCCGCAGTTGGATAAGCGCAAAAAGGATCAGGTCCTTGAGTTATCATCTGAAATAATAAATTAAAATAATTACTATTAAAAGAAATCCCAATAAATTCACTTTTGCGAGCTGCTTCCCGGCATAAGAAATTTTATGAAATTCCTTTACTAAATATTCCAGTAAAGAAACTAGGAAATCCTTTACAAAATATTCCAGCAAAGAAACTAGGAAATCTTTTAATAAATATTCCAGCAAAGAAACTTCAAAACTAGGATATTGCATGGGAAATAACACCTACGCCTTCCAATATTGGATCTGACATTCCTTTAATAGATATTCTTTCGTAGATATCCACCTCAGCTCTGACAACTGTCGATACTTTAGAAAAGATATACTTAAGATTATTTTTTTCTGTTTCCAAAGTTTGTCGATAATATTCCGTTTTTAACCTATCTAAATCTTCAACTTGTTGTGTTAAATCTTGAAGCGCCTTTTTTTTATAATTAACAAAATATATATCAATATGTATTATTATATTAAAAGCCCTTTCTTATATTAATTATATTAATTACATATGAGAAATAAATAAATTCCTTACCTTACGAAATTGTGCAAGATCTAATAATAATAATAATAATAAAATTAATTGAATAATTTTTAATTTATTATATGAAAAAAAAAATTATGATATATTTATACCTCTTTGACGTTTACGTCCACTACGTAAATTCTCGGCCTCGGTTTCTTTTATTCTTTTACTCATTTCTGCTAACGATCTATCATAATTTTCTTCGGCTGTTAACACATTTACCTTATGATTATCAAGATTCTCCAATAAAGGAATTTCAAACTTTTTATAAAAGGCATCACTCTATTAATTATGAATATATAATTACGCACAATTTTTTTTTTTTCGATTATAATTAATTTCTAACCTCAAATAAAAATTGGAATTTCCAAAATCGATTGATTGATGATGATATAAAAAGTTTACCAAAACTTGTTGATGATTTGACATTAAGTAATGTAAACCAGCTGCTGCTTGTAATGCGGGACCTGAATTAATTAATTAATTAATTATTAATCTTAATTATTTTGAATTAAACAAATAAATTATATTCCCAATTGAAGAATTCAAATGAAAAGCTAACCTGATTCAAGTGCTCCTTTACAACGCGCCATTCTTTCTAATGCTTGTCCAAAACCTGCACTAGCTTGTGCCAACGCTATCATTTGGTTACGGTATAATTTCGCGGAACCTAATAATTGTTCATAAGCTTCAAAGGATGCCCTAATATCTGCACGAGAGAGGACAACAGTTTGTTCAGGTATTGGATCAACTGTTCGTGTAGAATGTGCTACGGAATTTATTGTCCTTTCCGACAATGTAGGTGAAGTTTGTGCGGAAAATTTATACATGACTGACTAAATTATGTTATTAAATTCGAGGTCAGATTCAATAGTGGATAATAGATCTTTTTAAGTTTTCTAAATTGTCTAAATTGTCTAAGTTAAAATCAATTTTGATAAATAATTTTTAGCCACTTTTGGGGGAGTTTTTAACCAATCAAACCCGGTTTGATCCGTTTAATCTTAGTTCGGCATTCAAAAAGAAAATGGGGTAAGTTTCCTTTTGTAAAGTTAAAGTTCAATTTTCTCACATGTATTAAATTGCGCATAAACTACTTTAAGTAATGATAATTTATAATTAATACTCATTTAAATATCTTATTGAATTTTTTTTTTTACAATTTTATATCTTGTTGGGAATGAAATTGAGAAAGATATTTTAATTTTACCTCAAATGTACTAATAAAAGACTATAAAATTTTGAGAAAAATATTTGAAACTTGAAACTTGCAAAAGTAAACAAATACATTGTTTATGGATGATGAATATCGTTACTAGAAAGATTATTTGATACCATTTGTGAAGCCTGAAACAGGAGCTTTCAAATGATACTAAAAATTCCTTAGTAGAAAATCACTTCCTGTTGTATAAAATTCAAGTTTTGTTATTATTTTATAACTCAAAAAATATCAATATTAAAATTATAAAATAACTACAATTGAGAAGCTTGAAATGAGAACTTTCAAATAATACTGGAAACACCTTAATAGAAAATTATTTCTTGTAGTGTAAAATTTAATTTGAATTAATAATTTTTTAAAAAAAAAGAAAATGGAAAAGGTTGCAATTCAATTGATTACAACTCTCAAAGAATTGTAACAAGTATCTTTAATCTAAATATATAAAAATATATATATGAAATATATTTAATAAATATACAATTGATATTTTTTTTAATAGATAATGATATCTTAACAACCAGTTGAGAAATTTTTGTACAATTAAATTTATCTTATTAAGATTTAAATTTGTATATTTATAGATTAATTAAATATCAAGAATTACATATAAATGTAAAATAATAAAAAAATTGTGAATTGTGGAATTATATAATACAAATATATAATTTGTAATTCATAATTGCAAGTATTATCTTTATCAATAATTTAGTTTAAACAATTTTGTACAATTCAACTAATCTTATCAAAAGTAAATATTTTGATAATTGTTTATCCAAAACAATAGTTATTAAAGTTATTAATTAAGTTATTTCAACTTAAAGTTCTTATTTAAATTTATATACTTGTAAATTAATTATATTAAAGATTTGTAAACTAATGATGAATTAAAGACTTGTTGAATAAATTGCAAACTATAACTTGCAAAAATCTACAATAGTTGCAATATAGAAATAAGTATATAATTTACAATAATTGTAAATATGATCTTTAATTATATTCACTCTATTGTAATATGATCCATTTATAACTTGTTACATTTCTTTATTGAAACAAATTAATTAATAGTTATTTCATATCAATTGCATCAATATTGACAGTTATAAGGTATTTAAAATATTGCAATATTTCTAATATTTGAAAGTAAATGTTTCAGATATAGTAATACAAATGTTAAGATAGCTTATATATTATATGTATTTTGTTATTATATTAAACTAATAAAACTAAAAAATTAATTTATTACAGCCAGTTCGGCCGTTCACGTGATATTCACTACTGGTTTGTTGATTTTTTTAATATTACTGATTTTATCTACTAATCTAACCAATCAAATCTCAAATTTCAATTTTATAGAGGGCTGGTAAAATTAATTGTTCAGTATCCCCAAAATCCAACATTAAAAAAAACCAATTTCTATCATTTCCCATATAGCCTGCCAATCTTTTCTTTGAAAAATTCCAGTTTTTTTTTGGATACTGTCCGCCCTCTTTTAACCAAAACTTTAACTTTTTGTGTTTTCTATTGAAAAATACATGAGTAATACAACTATGTCTTCTAAAATGGATGAGGCCCTCACTAAGCCAAGAAATGTTACCCATACTCTATATAAACTTTACAATTGGTTACAAATGGGTATGATAGACCTGAATCCCGAGTTTCAGAGAGGTACTTTTAACACTTTAAAGTCTACAATTCAGAGATATTTCATAAGAAAAACTATTGGTCATTTCGACTTATTTATTATAATAGTGGCGCAGTATTAATAGAAAAATAAATTTCTATTAAGAAAAATTTTTTTTTTTAAAAAATTTTTTGACAAATTTTTGATAACATATTTTTCTTATATTTTTTATTGTCATTGGTACGTCGACTTTACAGATGTCGTATGGACAGGTAAATTACTATTGGTTTTATTTACGCGACGAAATTATTCTTCTTTTTGATAACAATCTAACAATCTATATTTTTCTAATAAAAATTTTTTTTTTGGATATAACCATTAAAATATATTAAATGTAGGAATTAAGCAATCTCATTTGGTTGACTCTGTTCTCAATAATTTTTATGTTCCACCGGTAATTTTTTCATGTAAAAAGCTTGACAGTAAAAGGTGGATGCGTGTTTGTATTGATGGAAAACAACGACTCACCGCTATTAGAAAGTAAGTTTAATGAATATCTTTCTTTGCATAAATAGAAATAAGCGAAAAAAGGTTGCATAATTCTGAACACTTACGGAAGTCGTCAACTTGTACGACCATCGATTTTAACCAAATTTGGTGCGTATAATGTAATAAATGAATTTTATAGATTTATGGATAACGAAATTCCACATCTAAGCCCTTCTGATGGAAATATTACGAAACGTTATTATAAAGCTCTCAATGGAAGTAAACGTTCATTGACTGAAGTAGAAAGAGAGCTTTTTGATTGCAGTGAACTTCTTTGCGGTATATAATTAATTAATAATGCATTTATATTTTATTTATATATTTGATTAAATTTATGGCATATAAGTGAGATGTATCAAATTTTTATGTGATGTCTGATAACTATTATATTATTAATAACAAAAAAAATAGTCGAATATTATGATCTTACATTGCATCAAGAGCAAGAAATCTTTAGTCGAGTACAATTAGGTGTTGCTTTAACACCTGCGGAAAAGCTTCAAGCCATTAGTAGTCCAATGGCAGATTTCGCTCATGCGATTTATACTCAACATCCATCAATTTCCGCTATTATGGATACTAAACGTGCTCGTCCCTTTCAACTTATTACTCAATCTTTACATATGATTGAGTCCGAGCCTGAAAAATTTAATGCCACGCCAGCCATGATTACCAAATTCTTAAAAGAGGATCGTGAAGTTCCTGAATCTCTTAAAACTTTAGCGAATCAAGTTTATAGAACAATTGAGGAAATGATTGAAGATGATAGTGAATTATTTCATCGAGAAAATAAATTGGCACCAGTTGAATTTGTATTTTTAACATATATGATTGCAAAATATCCTGGACTTCCAATTTTTCAATATCAAAATCGTCTCTTGGCTATGAAAAAACATGTTCGAGCAAAACATGATGATATTCGATTCAATAATAAAGTATACGATACATTGAAGAAATTCATAGATAATATGGAATTCGAGTATGTTTCCGCTCATAATGTTTCTACCATATATCCAACACCCACAGTTCCAAACTTTGATTCACAATCCAATGCTACAACGACGACGAATACAACAACAACAACAACATCTCGACCAAGGAAGAGAGTCAAACACGTAGTAGCAGATTAACAATAATTTTTATGATAATTTTAATGGTAATTTTTATGATAGGTGGGTTAAAGGATAAAAGATAAATTTGTAGGTAAGCATTTTTCTTTCCTTTCTTCGTTTATGCTCATCTACACCTTTTCTTTTTTTTTTTTTTTTTTAAAAAAAAAAAAAAAAAAATTTATACCCATTTATATTATAAACGTAATTAGCTTTTTAGCTTTTAAATCTTCTTATTAACAACCGTTTAGAAAGAATAATTGAAAGAATCGAAAGAATCGATGAATTTTAGCATTGATCATATTAAAAAAAAAAATTAAAAAACCTCAATCTATACATACATCATTTTTTCTCATTGTAAGAAATTTTCTTTAATTTTAAATTCTCTTTTAAGTAGTAGTTTTTTTTTTTTATCTATACTCTATAAATAGTCATGCAATTTGCACAATTTGTCAATTTGTTAAAAATTAAAAAGAAACAAAAAATAAAAATAAAAAAATAAAATAATAATAAAAAAAAAATTTTAATAATGTAACTATTACTGGATAATCGATCAACATTTTTTTAAATAGTGATCGACATCTTGCATTAATAATATAAATTATTATTTTTTTTTTCAAGTGATAATGGTTAAATGTCACCACTGGGCAAAGTTAGGGTTAAGGGGTTGATCAAAGAATTATGTAATTTTGCCTGGAGGTACAATTACCACCGGTGAGCTTTAGCAATACCCTAAAATTATTCCAAAATGGCTGTGTAAAAGGATCTTGTTGACATCCCGAAATAATAAATAATACTATAATTAGTTTTATTAATATTATTGCTTGTACTCAAGTTACCTTGATTATTTATTTTTTATTTTTTATTAAATTGGAACGCAAATGGTTACTGAAGTTTGAAAATCACGTTAAAAACTTAAATCTAAATTTTATCAAGAAAAATCTAAATTCGAATCCCAGAAAATCTATGTATAATTAAAATAGTTATATTTCTGATATCAATTTTTTCGTAATATTTATTTTTTTCTGTCTCTTAAAATTTAGTTACCACAAGTAATGGTAAGTTTATTTCAAAGATCAAGATTGCTCTTATCTTTTCATGCACTCCTTTGATAATTGCATATACAAATTGTCATAAAAAAAGGCTCAGATTATTAATACAAATTAAAATAGATCCAATTGACAATAGTCGTAAGTCTGGCAAGTTTATTTCAAAGACCAAAAGATTCCTCTTTTCATGCACTCCTTTGATAATTGCATAATTTCATAGAAAAGACTCAGATTATTAATACAAATTAAAAATAAATCCATAGTCATTACAAGTCATCAAGTCATTTGGCACTTGTCAACCTTGCCTAAATAAAGACTTGACTTGTGAACATGAATCAAAACGCAACATTGGGCACGTATAAATTTTTTAAACCTCTGCGGAATGATTTGGGGATAAACCAAAACGGCTAGTCCAATTTTTGATTTTCAACATGTAAAAGTAAAACAAACACGTTTATAAAATTTTCGAGATCCAATCATATTTGATAATAATGATGTCATCCCAAATGATATGATTATCTAACCATAACAGAATAAAATTTTGTATAACAATAATGATCTTCAATCTGTGATTGTTATTTTAATTTTATGCGCATGTAATCTACTTTTATCTACTTTTTTTTTACCCCACACTTGTATATATAAACATTTTTTTTTTTTTTTTTTTTTTTATTATTATTATTATCTAAATAATCTAATTAATTATTGTTCGAGTAAAAGATCTTACTTATAACATATAAAAATGAAAGTAATATACAAAATTCAAAAAGCTCATGAAGAAGGAAGACCTTTTTGGTCTTTTGAGTACTTTCCTCCTAAAACTCAACAGGTATACAATACATAGTTATATTTATATATGTGTATGTATAAATATAAGATTAAATATCATAACTCACCTATGGATCATTTATTGAATTGTTTATTTAGGGTATTCAATATTTATATGATCGTATGGAAAGAATGTATCGTCTTGGTCCCGAATTTATTGATATTACGTGGAATGCCGGAGGAACTTCTTCACAATTAACAAGTGAAATTACTGCCACTGCGCAGTCGGTGTATGGTTTAGAAACCGTCATGCATTTGACTTGTACAAATATGCCTAAAGAAAAGATTGATAAAGCTCTTAGGGTAATTTTTAATTTACACGTTTGTTTATATGTGATGCTCAATCGTTCATAATCGTTCATTATTGCTCATAATCGTTCATTATCACTCATTATCGTTCATTATCACTCATTATCGTTCATTATCACTCATTATCGTTTATTATCGTTTATTATCGTCCATATATTTATAATGAGGGAATTTAGGATGCAAAAGAATGTGGTTGTCAAAACATTCTTGCACTTCGTGGAGACCCGCCTAAAGGTTCAGATCGTTGGGAAGCATGCGAAGGTGGATTCTCCAATGCTATTGATCTCGTTCGTTATATTCGTGCCGAATATGGTGATTACTTTGGTATTTGTGTGGCAGGTTATTGTGAAGGACATGTCGATAATCCAGATAAAGATGATGATTTAAGACGTCTCAAACAAAAAGTAGACGCAGGAGCAGATTTCATAGTAACTCAATTGTTTTATGATGAGGATTTATTTTTGACATGGGTTAAAAAATGTCGAGCGATTGGTATAACGTGTCCTATTATTCCCGGAGTTTTACCAATTCAAAATTATTCAACTTTTAAAAGAATAGTAACTTTATCAAATACTAGTGTTCCTCAATATGTTTTAGAAGATTTGGAACCTATCAAACATGATGATTCGGCTGTTAAAGAATATGGAATTCAATTAACAGTTAAAATGATAAAAAAAATGTATGCGAATGGAATTAGTGGATTTCATTTTTATACTATGAATTTAGAAAGATCTACCCGTTTAATTTTGGAAGAATTGAAATTTGTGGCACCTGTGGAAAATGCAAAACCTTTGCCATGGTGTCCAGTAAGATTGATTGATATAATGTTATTATAATGTCTCTTTATATAAAAAAAAAAAAATTCAAATATTTTATTAAATTTATTATTTTTATTATTTTTATTAATTCTAAATAATAGTCTTTATCAGTTAAACGTAAAATGGAGAATGTACGTCCCATATTTTGGAGAAATCGTACTAAAAGTTATATTACTCGCACGGAAGCATGGGATGAATTCCCAAACGGTAGATGGGGAGACTCTCGTTCGCCGGGTAATATTTCTCATTTAATTTATAATTTTAATTTGTAATTTAAATTTAAATTTGATAATTTAATTTTTTTAATGAAGAGTAAATTTCTTACGTAATTTAATTTATATTTATTATGTATAGCGTACGGTGAATTAGATGGTTATGGAATATCTTTAAAGCATTCTGTACGTATTAAATACACAATAAATTATAATAATTATTTTATAATTCACAACATATAAATACTTAAAACTTCAATTTTACATTTTTTTTTTACAGATAAAAGAAGCTCATAGATTATGGGGATATCCTACTAAGCTAACCGAAATTTATGACTTATTTGTTCAATACTGTAATGGAGAAATTAATTCCCTTCCTTGGTCAGATCAAACACTTGCTCAAGAAACTGAAATTATTAAGGATCGTTTGGCTCATATTAATTCATTGGGATATTTGACAATTAATTCTCAACCAGCAGTAAATGGTGCCCGCAGTGATGATAAAGTATTTGGATGGGGACCTAAAAATGGTTACGTTTATCAAAAGGTATAAGGTTTACTAATAATACTAATAACAAATAATAAAATAACAATGTAAATTATTATTTTCGTCGAAAACGAAATATTAATTTTTTTTTTTTTTATTAAAAAAAAATTTATTTAGTCATATTTGGAAATTTTTGTGTCTCCTGATCAACTCGACGCACTTACTTCTAGAATTGCACGTGATCCACTCATAACATTCTATGCAGTAAATAAACAGGTAACATTTTATAACCGAAAAATCAATTCTTTTTTTTACTCCTTCCTTGGTGATTTCTAATTCCAATGATTTTTTATAATAGGGAGATTTAAAAACCAATACTCAGAGCGAAGGACCCAACGCGGTCACGTGGGGGGTATTTCCTGGAAAGGAAATAATCCAACCCACAATTGTAGAAGCTGTGAGCTTTATGGCCTGGAAGGTAGTAATATTTCTTAATATTTTATTGATATTTCTGAATATTTCTGATTAACTTTTTAAATAAACACACACATATATATATTAGGATGAGGCTTTCGAATTATGGAACGAATGGGCAAAAATCTATGAACCCGGTTCTATAAGTAATACATTAATTTCAGAAATAGCAGAAACGTGGTACCTTATTAATATAGTACACAACAATTTTCATGATAGTGAAGGAATATTTGCAATTTTTGAAGACAATTACTCTAACGATCTGTTAGATGCAGATCGTTGATTTTATTATTATTATTCATGTTTTTTATTTTTTTTTTTCATTATAGAAAACTTTTAAAAAAAAACCATTTTATTATTATTATTATTATAATTATTATTACTATCGTTATTTCTATTATTTTTTTTGATAGAAAATCCATCATTCTCGTGTATCACACGAATAACACCTTTTTTTGGGGGTTTTTTTTATTTATTTAATAATATAGTATTTTGAGATCATCATTTGTTCTATTTTTTGATCTTTTTATGAATCAAGTTTCATTATTCTTGATATACATTATAAACAGAGATCAGATTATTTTGATTATTTTATAGTAAACTATAATTTTAGAACTTTTATTATAATGTTCTTTTATAAATCAAAGTTCCACCAAGTTTCATTATTCTTGATATACATTATTTTGTAACGGGGATCAAATTATTTTTTGATTATTTTATAGAAAATTATATAATTTTAAAACTTTTATTATCATTTGTTCTATTCTTTTATGAATCAAATTCCACCAAGTTTTATTATTTTTGATTATTTTACAGAAAATTATATAGTTCTAAAATTTTTATTATCATTTGTTTTATTCTTTTATGAATCAGGTTTTACTATTCTTGATATACAATTACTTGTAACAGAGATCTGATTATTTTGATTATTTTATGGAAAATTAGATTAGAACTTTTATTATTATTAGTTCTATTTGTTCTTTTATGAATCAAGTTCATTATTCAAAGATCAGATTATTTTATAGAAATTATATAATTTTAAAATTTTATTACATATAAAGAAATAATTGTTAAGCATTGCCTGTTTTAATTCTCAAAGACTGTATAAAATGATAAAAATGACAGAAGTGACAAAGATAAAAATGATATGTATTCTATACAATTTGTGATTCTAAAGAATGTTGTTGTTATTATTAATCTTTCATAAAACATATTCTTATTACATAAAAATACAATCCTTAGATAAATAAAAAATACAATTGTTTAACTACTTCTACCCTTATCTAAATTTTTTTTGATTCCTGGCCCTTTAAATGATGACTTTTTATGACTATGATATAAATGATTCAAATGATTCAATCACAAAAAAAAAAATAATAATAAAATTTCACGGATAAATTTAATTTATTCTTCACGCTTCAATAATATTTCAAATGAAAATGGCTCAAATTTTCTACCAGTACCCTCATAAAATTTGCCGTTAAATTCGACCCTATTAATCATAAAAAATTATCATAAAAATATTATTATAAAAAAAAATTATTACATTATTCATTCGTTATACATTCAGTATACAATGCAATTTATTAGAAAACGTACCAATGCAAACGTAAAGCGTGCAAAAATGCTGATAAACCTTCCATCAATAATAAAATTCCAATCGTCAAACAAAACCACAAAGTAAGCGCTATAATGAAGGCAATAATTCCAAATACTCCTTTCATATGAAGCGTTGGTTTAAGCGTCATGTCCCATAATACTACTGATAACTCTAAAAGTTTAAAGTATAATATTAATTAAACTTATTTAAAATTAAACTTAATTAATCTTATTTAAAATTAAACTTAATTAACCTTAATTGAAATCTTCAATAAAAACAACAATAGTAATAATAGATAAATAACTTACGAGCGTGAGCTAAACTTAAAGCCCATAATCGAAGATAACTTGCAGTATTTGAAATACAACCTAAACAAAATTCTATAGTATGTATAACTTGATGTACTATAATTTCACCAAAATCAAATTCTTCTATTTCAAGCATTTCTTCCGCAACAACTGCTCCACCATATTCATTATCTTCATCAGTTGAAATACGTGTGGCATCAGTTTGTGGATTATGATATCCTTGTGTACGAATTTTTTTATATTCTTGTCTTAAAATAAATGGTTTTACGAATAACATCCATGGAATACAAATCAAAGCAATTATGAGAAGAGTTGCTTGTACAAATCCCTAATTTATAATTTATTAATATAATTATTAGTTAATATTTAATTTATAATTTATTTGCAAAAGAAATAATTAATTATTTATTTAGAAACAAGATTTAGAAATAAGAATAAAAATAAATCATAATTACTTGTCCCGGAAATAATTTATCACTTTCAGAAACAGTTCCAGGTTGTAAAAACATATAAATCAACATATTTAATAATCCCGGTGGACTATTACGAAGTGCATTCCCTTCTGTATCCTTCTCATACCAATCAATTGACCATTTATAAATTATTGTAAAAACTAAATATCCAAATATACTTTGCATAAATAACATTTGAGGAATAAATTCTGCATATATGCTTATTGTTTTTTTAAAATATGTGTAATTATAAATTGTGAGAATTATACCAAAACTCATCTAAATAATAATAAATAATAATAAATAATAATAATAATAACAGATATTATTAATTGAAAGAAATAATAATTAAATTAATTAATTAATTAAAAGTATTTTAAAGTTACTAAAATTATTACCTGAATTACTCCCAAAATGATGGACATTTTCATTTTATAAGAATTAGTAAATAATAAATAATTATCGGTACCGTGCCATGCCTGAATAAAGAAATAATTTTGTTAATATTATAACAATGATAACAATAATAATAATAATAATAATATTCTTATTAAGTACTAACCGGATCGAGACCGAAATAATAAACTCCAACTTGTCGTGCTTCAATTACCCCTGTCTGATTAAGGGGCCATACAAATCCTGATGGAAACAATTTAAGTGTTCTCGAAAACATATCATTGTAAATTAACCCGGTATATATAGAGAATAAACCCATCAATAAAATTATATATCGTCCACCAAAGAACATTTCTAAAATCTAAAATTTATTTATTTCAATTTAAGACAATTTAATAAATTTAATTCAAATAAATAAATAAATAAATATATATATATATATATATATAATTACCTCATCTTTCCCTGGTTTATCCAAGGCTTTTTCACGAATAATAAAGTATAAAGCTGCAAGTAAAACCAAAACCCCATGACCACAATCTCCAAACATTACAGCAAATAAAAATGGAAATGTGATTACGGTAAATAATCCCGGATTGACTTCTCGATATCTAGCAACTCCGTATGCATCAACTATTTCTTGAAATCCGACAGTAAATTTATTTGTTCGGTGGAAAGTTGGTGGTTCCTTTGTTGTAGCAAGTTCATTCAAAATTGATGGAACTGTTGAACCTAACATATCCTAATGATAAAATAAATTATTATAATAAAATAAATTAATATTATATTAATAAAATAAAATAATATTATATAAATAAAATAAATTAATATTATTAACTTCTTTATTTCTACTTACAGTTGCAGCTTTAAGAGTTTGTTTAATTTGATCAAGGTCATTGGTAGGACACCAGCCCTCCGCAATTAAACACTTTCGATTCGAATCATAAATAAATAAATTCATATTATGATAAATAGCTTTTTCTTTCTTTACAATAGTCATCCAAATCGATAAATCTTCCGCAATTTTAATTAATTCTGATCTTCTAGCATTTTTGGTATTCAACAATACCGAATTATGATCTTCTATTTGATCAGTAATCTCCTTTAAACTTTTTTTTCTTTGATCAGGATTATCATCCACTTTATAAAGTGTGGCCCCTAAAGATTCTGAGATTTTTCTAATCTTGTTTATAAGTTCTCGACCATGAGCAAATATAATAAACACATTTTTTTCAAGAACTTCATCTGTTTCTGGATCAGTTATTGGTTCATCAATTTCCGCATAATTTAAATATAAATTTCCACGCAATGCTCGCCACAGAATACGTTCAAAGGTTTGCATTTTTGCTCGGGAAATAACTCCTGCCACAAATCTAAGATTAATATTTTAAGAATATTTATATTGTGAATTATTATTATTATTGTTGTTGTTGTTGTTATTATTATTAAATTATTATTATTATCATCATCATTATTATTATTGAACTAACCCAAGATTAAGATTGCTAAATGCAATTGGTTCTCCTTGTTCAAGATCTTGATGTTCCAATAAAGGAGCTGTAGGTTCGTCAAAAGAATTTCGTATATCATCTTGACGAGATACTGCCTAAAAAAGTAAGATGAAAAATTATTACATGTAGAAATTATAAATATTGTAATAATAAATATTATGTTGTATATCGTTATTACTTCTTCAAAGAATTCAGCTGTTTCTTGTAATACATGTCTCGCTTCAGTCAATTCCAAATATCGTTTTTGTAATTTTTCATAAGAATCATTCATTTGTGTAATATGTCGCTCATGTTCTTTAATCTTTTCTTCAAGTTCATCAATTTCTGTAGCACTTTTTGCTCGAGCACCTGTTGCATCTCCAATAATTTCGATATCGGATTTTGCCATTTGAGCAGCAAAAAAACCTGGAATTTAATAATTATTAATATATGTATGCGAAAATACCATTCCTCAATTACTCTTTTTTTTTTTTTTAAAGAAAAAACTCATTGAAACGGTTCGAGACTTACGCAAATGTCTTTCCATTTCATCGAGACGTCTAATTTCTTTGACGTAAGCACGTTGAAATGCATTGACATCAGGATTCAACTATACAATTAGGAAAAAAAGATAAATTATATTATTATTAAGAATTTTTAATAAGAAATAATGTGGTGTAATATTAAAATCAAAAAAAAAAGTACATCTCTAAATTGAATCAAACCCAACTCTCCTAATTCTGCCACAGTATATGGAGCAGTTTCTTGAGGTATATAGAGTTGGATGAGAGACATCTCTTCCGAACGAAAGAGACTTGAGTGCGGCATTTTTCTTCGTTATGAATGAAGACAACGAGAATGTAGTCGAAATGAATGTACTCAAAATATATAGTTCAGAAATGTATAATTCAGTATACTAAAAATATAAAATGCTAATAATTAAAGAGCAATTTGATTGCATATAATATGGATTATCAATCTTATCAATCAGTTGATTTGTTCATTGTACAATTGGTAACATAATGTATTTGAATCGATCTTACTTAACAAATCACAGGACAGGCTTTGAATGTAAAAAAAAAACGGGTTACGTCTAAACTTTGTTCTTCTGAAACCTTAGGTGGAAAATATACCTTTTTAATCATAAGCGATTGTTTAAATTATTTAAATTATTTTAACTATATCATATTTACCATATTTGGAAAAAATGTGATATTTGAATTGGGTTAAAAATATAACGTTATTACATTTTTTTACACGTGTTACTTAAAATCATTTCAGTAAATACTGATTTGGAAAGATTAATATTTATACAATTTCAATTATTAAATATGTTGTCAGTTTACAAATGTGATTTTAATTAAATTGGTAATTAACCAAAAATGTTAATTTTAGTTCTTAATTGTAATTTCTATCAGATTCAAAAATAGATACCTACTATCTTATATGGAATTGTAGCCAGAAATGAAGTCTACAACTTTATTTAGAACAATATTTTATAGTTATTAGTGAAAATTATAACTTTACTTAGGAATTAATAAAAATGAGATTAGAAAATATGATTCTTCTGATCCAAAATGGAAGATACGCTGAACTGTTTTGATATCAAGACGAATGACCTTTTGATCAGCCACTTCCCATATCTTGAGTCCTATCTTATTTTATAAAGGATTTTATAAAAAAAAAATTCCGCTCAAAGTTGGAAAGGATATGAAAGAGAAACAAATTAATGGGATAGGAAAGAACATGAATTCCATTTCGGTTACCAAAATCATGATTAAATGTTATTCGTCTTAGGTTATTGCTCATTGAGGAGTTACAAGCCTTGTTATTAATTGTTATTACGTTTATTGCTTTATTACTAATTTTTATTCTATACTTCCGTTTTTTATTCAATTTAGTAAGGGGGATTTTTTCCCTCAACGATTAAGTGCTATTATCAATTAATATTTTTTATATTCTCATTTTGTCCTTCCAAATTTTTTTTTTCCTTTTACAATTTTAAGAGTAAGGGATGGGTAATAAATTAAGTTAGGACTTTTTCATTTTTGATCTTTTGTTTATTTGTCGAGAGTCATTTTTGAAAAGTAGAACTTGTTATTCAGTTTCTTTATAGGTCCAAAAACGATCCCCGAACACAAACTTGTTTAATAACACAATTACTTTTATAACAACTTTATATCATTATTCCACCAACTACAATGAGATTGTCCTTGAATGGATTTCCTTTCAGGTGACGGTAGTAGATTTTATCTTATTCCTTTATGTAATTTTTGTGGTTATCATTTACGAATAAAGAGGAGACTCTTTTAATAATCGTTAAAAAAAAAATTATCAAAAACACGAAGAAAGTCCTGTGCTCAAAAAAATCTAATAATAGCCAAGGTAGCCTGAAGAAAGTCTCAAAGTTCCATTAAAATAATCATACTCAAATCGTTACGGAACATGAGGAAAGTTCCATACTTTCTAATGATTCAATTGACACTAGCATTTCGCATGATATGGCGCAGAAAGTCTAAAGACATCACTTCTGAAATTTGTAGTTAATATGTCATATAATTTATTATATAAGTGTTTGCCAGGAGTACAAAAATTTATATGAATAAAAAGAAGAATTTAAAATTTTTGAATAAAAAAAAAAGAGCTTAAAATTTTGCACGTTTTGAAAAATCTACCCAAACAGAAAAATTATTTACTGCTGAAAATTTTATTATTATTAATATTACTCACTTAATAAATTTAATACTATAGTAGAGCTAATCTAGAGCTATCAAATAATGTATTTTATTTCATTTATTGATTCTATATTTGGATACAAAGTTTTAGTAGTTTAAAATATTTGATGCCTTTATGATATCATTCCGATATTCCGGAGCGAACAAACGACGAAAATAAAATGTCAAAGATAATTTTTCTAATAATTCGAATGATGCTAACTTTCGATTTTCGTGGGCACCATACAAGGTATTCAAAAAATACATCTGACTTTATGAAAAAAATCACTTTGGTCTTAAATCAAATCTCGAAAGCAAATCGCAAAAGAGATATTCAAGTAATATCTAAAGGAACATTCAAATCAATAAATAATTCGTGATTAATGATAAACGGAAAGAGATCTACATATAAGAACCATAATCTCGTTCCGGAATAAGAATATCAGAACTATATTTTTCTCCATTAATATATTTTTGGTTTTAAATGTCAACATCAATAAAATATATAATTGCTCCGATTAACTTTATACCATATAAATATCTTTCTTTTTTTTCATTATTTTTGATTAATAATACAGAATTAAACAAAACTATTTATACTATTTATTTGTTTGTATTATAGAAGAAAAAAGAAATTTAGAATAATTTATATAGATATATAATATATATAATGGCTGCACGATCTTCGGCATGACGATAAAAAAAGAAATTTTAATATAATATCGCAGTAAAGATCTGCTAATCAGCAGATACTCGGATAAAATTTGTGCAGCATTCCTTGATTTAAAAATAATACATTCAGAGTTTTCCACCGCATTTACCATTTACTACCATGATCAATTCTTTTGAAGGAAATTTTAGACCACGACGAAACATCAATCTTGGAGGTCAAAGAAAGCGAGAAGATTTAGGGTCTCTAATCAAAAAAACACAAGAATTACGAAATGACAGGAATCTCGAACGTCAGAGACAAAAATCTGCTACAAAAATTCAGGTTATTATTTTTTTTTAAAAAAAAAAAATGGTTTTTTTTATTATATTAATTTTTCCTTTAAATATAGGCCTTTTATCGTGGTAGAACTGTTGCTGGAAGGCTTCGTAATCAAGAACGAGCATTATGGGATCAGCAAGTTGAAATTATCTTTAATCTAGACAATTCCATGTACCACGCAGCAAAAACATTGGTCAACATGGCTCGTAGCTTTCTTTTCTTCTATCGTCCTATTTATGATAATCGTAGAGAATTTTGTTTGTGTGAAATTTTATGGAAGCATAACCTAAGTAAAGAATTTTTTCGATTTCATATATATATTTCATTTTAGAGATTTGAACATAAGTAAAAAAAAAATCCTTATTTAAAATTTTTTTAATTTATAACGATATTCTAGATTCAGAGATGATATTTATTCCATTTTCTTATGATGAATTACGGAATACGTGGACTTTACAATTAAAAAAGATTTTATTAATCTTTCTCCAAAGTGTCGGATCGCAATCGCAATCGCAATCGATGTAATAAGTGTAATAAGTTTCCATCTTTTCGCAACGTTGATAAAATGATTTATTAACATAGTTTTTTGGTGTTAATATACTGTTTTTGATTATTTTTAGAATTGATGATAATAATTATGCAATCCATTATTTGAAGACATTATTATTGGCTGTAGATGTGGAAAAACATGAACGAACAAAACCGACTTACGGTGGCAGGTCCGTATAGGGTATAGTTTGATATATGTTTAATTTAACATTTGATTGTTTTCATTTTTTTTTTCACATTTGATTTGATTTCATTTTTAACATTTAGTTATTTTTTTTCATTATTTTAAATAATATATAGAATAATTTCTCAAGAAATTTTTAAATATCTTGTCGAACATGATCTATATTTTGAATTAAGAAAATACCTATTAAGTTTGGTAAGATATTTTATTTATTTTAATTTGAAATTATTTTTTTATTTATTTATTTATTTTTATTTTATTTAAATTAATTTATTTTTTTTAATGTTGCAAAAATAGAACATTGATGATAAAAATGATTTAGCCATTATTCCAATTGTAAATCTTGGGCTCTACTCATTTCGTATTTTTAATCCTAAAGATGAAATCTACAAATTATCCTTAGAAAAGTTCATTACGAATATTTTTACCATCCCTTTATTATCACATCGGATCAACATAGAAGCTTTATCCATATTTTCATCTAGAATGCCATTACATGAGCTTATAGTTAAGTTATCAGAAATGAATGGAAATAATTGGAATTTAGAACAAGGAAGTGTTATGTTAAGTAATTTGTTGGTGTTTGCACACCGAACGATTAAAAAGATGAACAAAGATGTGATGGTACGTGTTATCGAAATAATCTTTAAATTGATTTTAAATTTATTAATAAAATTTCATTATATTTTCTTTATAATATATTATCTGAATGAAAAAAATGAAATTATAGTTGGCATATTTGAAAGTTATTCAAAATTTATTGTTATTAATTCCAACTCGATTACTTATGGATAAACCGGAATCAGATGTTATTGGTAAAATGCACAATTTAAATAAATTATATTATTATTATTATTATTATTATTATTAATTATTATTTTATTATAGTAAATGATGATGATGATTCCGACGATGAAGTAATAGTTCAAGAAACAACACCATCGCTTCCTAAAATTGATCCAAGAATTTTAAAAGGAATTTCTTATCTCTTTGATCCTCAGCATTTAAATTCCGTATTTGCATTTTCAAAATGCGCCGACTATACGGCATTTCTTAAAATTTCCAACTTTTTGATCATTTTGATAAACCGGTGGTCCTCAAGGAAGGCTGACTTATTACATAGTATAATAAACGGAACGTTTTCTATGTCTGAGAACATTTCATCAATTCGTTTATTATGGGAAGCATTCAAAAAATCTAATTTAGCAAGGTTATTGCCAGCCAATCAATCTTTACCTATTAATTATTTTACAGGTATTTAAATATTGAAATATTATTTAATCTTATTAATCTTATTCAATTTATTATGTCTTATTGATGACTAAAATTAATTTTGGTTTAAAAAAAATTTTTTTTTTATATAGAACCCTCATTTTCAGAGCAATGGGGATTATTTATTTTACTTTGTGAATTGTTTTCTCGAGTTTTAGTTACAATGGGTGATGATGAATTCTTTAATGAGAATCAAAACCCTCTTAAGTTATCAGAAGTAATTGAGATGTCTATTAGTTTGAAGGTATTATTTATGATCACTTTGAATTACGTGACCTTTGTCTTTAAATAAAAAATATTTGACTAGACATAGATTATTTTTTATTTATTTGATGTAGAATGTTGGATTTACTTTATATTGGAATAGTCCTTCATTTAAAATGGATAGTACCATTCATGGTGGTTGTATTTCATTTATTTATTTAAGGGAAATTATTACTAAATTATTACGACAGATTCACGCAAGAGAGTACGTATTTAACATTTTAATGGTTTCAATAATGAGAATTTTAAAATGAATTATTAATTTTCCTTTTTCCCCTTTTTTAAACAAAAAGTTCTCGTCGTCGATTTACTGCAACAGATCATTGGTTAATGATTTCTGAATCTGAAATGGTTACTTTCGCAAAAACCGTGGTAGCTGAAGATTTAGAATTAGAAAGGAATCAGGATGGTGTCAATATTGATAAACGTCAACTAATTTCTATTAGTCCGAGACTCGGAATTCTTTATAATATTCCATTCGTAATACCTTTTGATGAACGAGTAAAAATTTTCAGAAACTTTGTTCGTAATGATAGTGAACGGTAAATAATTAACTTTATTATTATTATTATTTATTATTTATTATTATTTTATTGTTTCTATTATTTTTATTACTATTTACAATTCTTATTATATTATCATATTTAGAATTAATGATTTTGGTTTCTTTGAATCTCGAAGACGAGTAACTATTCGTCGAAGTAATATATTTGAAGATGGATATGCAAATCTCAATTCCGCTGGGAAAGGATTGAAAAATTCTGTAGCCATTCAATTTATTGATGAATTTGGAATCCCAGAGGCCGGCATTGACGGTGGAGGATTATTTAAGGAATTTTTGACTTCGTGAGTTTCAATTACACGAAATATTCAATTTTAAATTTTCTGAAAATATGATGATTAAAATCCAATTAAATCTAATTAAAATAAATATATATTAGTTTGACGCGTATAGCTTTTGATACAAATTATGGATTATTCCTTAATACAAATAAACAACTTTTATATCCGAACCCACAAGAATATGCACAACAAGGTAATCTTTTTTTTTTTTTATTTATTTATTATACGAACCACAAGTTTTTCAACCTTTTTTTTTTTTGGCAATCTTTAAAATTTTATTTTATTTTTTAACTAGAAATACAATTAGGTTATTACGAGTTTATGGGTCGCATATTAGGCAAGGCCTTATATGAAGGAATTTTAATAGATGCTGCTTTCGCTGGATTTTTCCTTACCAAGTGGCTCGGAAGAACGTCTTATTGTTAGTTTTCCATATAAATAAATTAAATATTTTTTTTATTAATATCATAATTAAATATCTATTAGTTCTAACATTCATTTGATTATTATTATTATCATCATCATCATTTTAGTGGATGATTTACCATCACTTGATCCGGAATTGTACCAAGGTTTAATTATTTTGAAAAATTATCAAGGAAATGTTGAATCAGATTTTTCATTAAATTTTACCGTGGTTGATAATGGTATGGCATAATTTCATTTAATCTTATCCTTCCCATAAAATGGAAATTTTTAAAAATAATTTCTTTTTCTTTATATATATGAATATATAGAATTTGGAGAATCTCGAACCGTTGAACTTGTACCTGGAGGTAGTGATATACCAGTCAATCAGTATAACCGTCTTCAATACATCTATCTGGTGGCCAATTACAGGTTAAATATTCAAATAGAAAAACAATGCAAGGCATTTTTCCGTGGTTTATCTGATTTAATAAATTCAAAATGGCTAAAAATGTTTAATCAGGTTTGGACATTAATAAAATTGGAATTTATTATTATTTTTTTTTTTGTATAAAAATTTGATTTTTATTTTATTCTTTTTATTATATATATATATATATATATATATTTAAAAAAAAATAGCAAGAATTACAAATTCTTGTTGGAGGTGCATATATTCCAATCGATCTTGAAGACTTACGACAGAATACTGTATATTCTGATTATAAAGATGATGATCCCGTTATACAAAGTTTTTGGAAAGTTGTGTCAGAATTTTCTGAAGAAGAAAAGCGAAATTTAATAAAATTCGTTACTTCTTGTTCTCGACCTCCTCTATTTGGTTTCAAAGAACTTAACCCTAAATTCAGCATACGAAGAGCTGGCTCAGGAACTAGATTACCTTCTTCAAGTACATGTGTTAATTTATTAAAATTACCAGCGTATCCAGACGAAAATACATTGAGAGAGTACGTATTTTAAATATTACATTTATTTATTTTATTAATTTTATTTATTTTACATTTTTAATTTTTATTTTATTTTTTTTTTATTTTAGAAAATTGATGTACGCTATCAACGCAGATGTAGGATTCGATCTTTCTTAAGTAGATTTATTTCTCGTGATTTGTACTACTATAATTTATATTAATTTGTAAAAGATATATTTGCATTTAAAAAAATATCTGATATGCAGATTTTTTAGCCTTGTGTAAGTGGTTATTCGCCAATACAATATTACAGATATTACAGAGTAAATAAATAAATAAATAAATAAATAAATAAAAATATGCAATAAATAAATTTTTTCAATTTCTTTTATTTCTTTTCTTTGCACATAAAATTTTTTTTCTCCTTTTTCTATAAAAGATAATATTCTTTATTTAAATAATGAGTATTGAACAAATTTGGGAAGAATATAAACGTCACCATGACGGTGACTATTTTACTGATAACGCAACAGTAGTTTTCATTCCTACGGCTTCTGGCGCAAGAGGTTATGACGCTGTTAGACAGTTCCTTGCAAACGCTTACGATTCTCGCATACTTAAAATAAAAGAAAACGTCATACACAAAACTGTCGGTCAAAACTCTATTGTCGAAGAATCGGATACAAAAATCAATTTTGTTAGTGGTGAAGGAAGTTGGCTTGTACCAGGAGTTGATAGTAGACATTTAATTGATGTCGATATTACTTTACCAATAGTAACTACTGCTATATTTGATGATAATAGAATTTGTTCTATTCGACTTTATTGGGATCAAGCTTCAGCTTTAAAACAACTCAAATTAATATCTGATAAAAATACTTGGCCTATCATTTCTGAAAGACAGGTAGATGCATTGAAAGATATTTCTTCCGCCCAACTCAATCCTTTCGGTCGAGCTGAATTGGCTGCTGGAGTTTCACGTATGAATATTAATCACCAACAACAACAACCTCCAGCAGGTCGTCGAAATGTTCATACAAGTAGTAGAGTTAATCAACCTGGTGGTACAGGTGGAAAATCATCTATTTTCGATGGTTCAGATGATACCACTTCTAATCGTAGTAGTAGATTTCATTCAAACAAGAATCAATCTCAATTTATTATTGGTGATCAAGAAACAGGATTTCAGGAACAACGCTCTCAAAAGAAGATGAATCCGAACTCCAATGCATCACAAATTCAAATGCAAGATGATTCTGAAGAATCAAATAAACCAGGTCAACGTTCAACTTTCAGGCCTTCAAGTCGTGTCACGAAACCTCCTGGTGGTGGTGGTTCTCAAATTACCTTTGGTTAAAAAAAAAAATTTATAATAATTATTTGATTTGTAACAATTCTAGATTAGCTACAAAATTTCATTTTATAGATTTTCCAAATTTTCGTTATATTTTCTTTTTTTTTTTTTATTCTTCATTTTTATTTGTTGATTATAAAAATTATTCACTTTGATCTTTCCTGTATATTATTATCTAGATAATAAAAATTTTTACGGGGATAATTTCATCAAAAAAAAAAAAAAAAATCAAAATTATGTAACCAGTGTGATTCATGCAATTATGTAATGATTATTCATGGAGGATTGTAACAGTTTTTTTTTTTGTCATGCATAAAAATATAATAAGTAGTTCTGCTACAAGGTGATTAATCAATGAATTCAATAAATTCACATAAATACAATATAATACATAATACAATATAAATACGATATAATACATAAATACAATATAATAATTAGATGAAAGAATTATAGAATTTAGTTAAACGTAAAGTTATTTTTTAATCAAAATTAAAAAGAAGCTTTAGCTCTAACCTTATTATTTAATGTAATTTTTTATTAATATTATTATTATTGAACTTATTGAACTTGTTTTATTTCGTAGATCATATCTCAAATGATTTCACCTGTCACAAAAAGGGTGTACAATAAATATTCTATAAATACCATATTTAGTTTTTCGCATTCTATTGTAGTATTGATATTGTTATTTCTCTTTTGTCAATTTTTTTTTTCGCGAAAATGGGAATTTTTAATGGGCCCTGTCCTTTTGACGAGAGATTCACTAAAAATGATGGTTATCCTACTAAATCTTCAACAATTCAGGTATTAATTTTTGTTCTCTATCGTTAATTATTATTATTATGAAAATTCTTTTTTTTTTTTTTTTTTGCAAAATTGATATATATTTTATTAATTTTCTTCTAGACTAGCACTGAACGAGCTGTATACAATAAGTTTAAAGAATTCGAGAATGCAAATTCCTTAAAACAGTACGTGGCATTTTTTTTTTCCTCAAATAATTTAATTTCTTAATTACTAATTAATTTGATTTGATTTGATTTTTATTCAAAAAAAAAAAGAGTAAAGTTATATAGAGACATTCATTTTGAGTATATCCGAGGTGGTCTCGACCATCTTCATAAATATTTTGTAGTTTTAGATGCTAGCAAACCTTGGCTATGTTATTGGATGCTTCATTCTTTGGATTTGCTTGGTAACGAAATTACTCCTGATATTATCAAAAGGTAATTATCAAAAAAAAAAAAAAGGTATTGTTATAAAAATTTTATCATCTTTTATTATTAATTCATGAAAAAATATATTTATTTATTTATTTATTTTTAAAAACATGATTATTTTTTTTTCTTGAAATTCATAGAGGTATTTCCACCATATCTAAATTACAGAATGTGACTGGAGGATTTGGTGGTGGTCCAGGTCAAATATCACATGCTGCCGTAACCTACGCGGCTGTAAACGTGTTGGCAACTATAGGAACAAAAGAAGCATATGATATTATTGATAGGTATTTATATTAATTATTTTAATTATGATAAATTATATTAATTATATTAAATTAAATTATTTTTTTAGAGAAAATCTTTACAAGTGGTTTCTCAAATTAAAAAAACCGGATGGATCTTTTATAATGCATGAAGGTGGTGAGGTGGATGTAAGGTAAAAAATTCAAGAATAGTTTTCAGAAAAATAAAATTTTCTTTCTTTTTTTTTTTTACTTAAAAATTTTTCATTTTAAACAGAGGCGCATATTGTTGCCTTTCTGCCGCTGCATTGACCAATTTGATTACACCCGAATTAACAGCAGGAACTTCAGAGTGGATTAAAAGGTAAATCTTTTTTTTTTACATTATGATGATGTTACTTGTACTTTTTGGAAATTGTATTTATTTATTATTATTATTTTTTTATGGAAAATTAGGTCTCAAAATTATGATGGAGGAATTGGTGGTGAGCCTGGAATTGAAAGTCATGGAGGTTACGCGTTTTGTGGCCTTGCCGCCATGGAAATTATGGGTAAATCTGAAGAATTGGATATTTCATTGTTATTGGTAAGTAATAAACTAAATTTCATTCGTGATATTTTGAAAGATTTTGTGAAATTGATTAATTTAATGATTTTTTTGTTTAGCGTTGGGCTTCCTCACTTCAAATGCAAGTTGAAGGAGGTTTTCAGGGTCGACCAAATAAATTAGTAGATGGATGTTATTCATTCTGGGTTGGTGCTTTATTTCCATTATTAGAAGTCATAATTTCAAGACAATATGAAAAAAAACATGAAAATAAGGAAAGAGATCTTGGTGAGCTAGACAATTATTAATATTATTAAGATTTTTTAAAAGTTAAAGATCCAACACCTGTATATAATTTAAAATTATATAATTTATTTTTTTTTTTGTTGTTATCAGCTCAATCATTATTTGACAGAGGTGAAAAATGGTTTTCTTATTTTCTTATTTTTTTTATTGATATCAATAACAATTCTAACAAAGTTAATTGATATTGATTATAATAGAATCACTTCAAGAATACATTCTGATAGCTAGTCAATCACCCAAAGGTGGTTTTATTGATAGACCAGGAAGTTCACCAGATTATTATCACACATGTTATTGTTTGAGTGGTTTGTCCACTTCACAAAATCATGTTGTTTATGATGTTAAAAAACACAAAGAAGATTTAAATGCTGGTATGAGATCTTTATTGTGGTTTGAAGATACAGAAGATATAAATGTTGTAGGAGATTCAGATAATCTTTTGGTAAATTTTTTATTATTAATTATATTTGTTTTGTCTTGTTTTGTTATATTACATATTAAGTTATAATTTTTATTTTTATTTTATAGAAAGCTACACATCCAATTCATAATCTTACTATTCCCAAGGTTCATAAAATAATTAAATATTTTTATGAAGGAAATTAAAATTGTTTTTTTATTATATTTTTATCATTTTAATTATAAAATTGAAATTTGTAAAATATAATTCTCAAATTAAATAAATTCATAATTATTGTCTTAATTAATTTAACCAATTTTAAAATATTAAATAATATAATAAATATCTTTAAATATATAATATATATTGTACTGTATGATTTAATTAAATATATAAACAGTTCAACAATTATTATACACAGCCAATATTTGTTCTTTTGTGCATTGCCGTGTTCATAATATTACGGATTTTTTATAAATTTGTCATCTGTGTATTCATAATATGAACAACACAAAAAATTACTCCACACTCTTATTCATTACTGGGAAACCCTTTTTGATGCCTTTAGCCTTGATACTACTTTGATTATGGTATTTTAACTGAACGTTAAATACACGAAGAAAATAAATTGTTATCAAAGCAAGTGTAAAATCGATTGCACAAAAAAATTAAAAATCAAATTATCTACCACAAAAATTATTCCGAAACAAATATGTCGCACAATCTATCTGATATTTTTTTTATTGTCAATTTTTTTCGCCGTGATTGTGATCCACGAATTATATAACCGAAGTATTTTAACAATGGAGATGTTATATACAATTATCCTGGAAAATATATCATTCTCGAAACTATCTTCACATTTATACGATTTATACGAAAAAATGTATCCCCAGCTCCAATTCCGGCACCAATTCCCACTACAGTGGATCAAAAAATATAAAAACTTGAACATGACAATTTGACGTTACAAAACGAAATAAATAGAATGCAAACCGAATCGAGATGGGATTCTGTAGAGATTTGTAAATCCGACACAGCTTAGATTTACATTTCTAATATTCTGCATTTTCATAATTAGGGCAAGTCATACCGAATATCCTGAAGAAGTCGAAACCCTTTAGGTGGAGTTTATAAATATATTTAATGAACGGAGAAAAAAAGGGAAACGATCACCACAAAAATGTACAATATTCTGAAGAAATTGGACTCAGTTCAGCCACACTTGCAAGTTTCTATAGACATCAAAAAAAATCCCCACTACGTACCACATTAGATAAAATTGAATCCTGGATTGAGAAAGAAAACCAGAAAAAGGATAATTCCGTAATTATTAGAAATAATTTTTCAAGTAATTTAATTTTAGATAATAGCAGTAGAAATAACAATAACAATAATGTAAACGATGATAGCAGTAGAAATAACAATAACAATAATGTAAACGATGATAGCTAGTGTGGGAACTGCCATTTCTTTACATTGTAAAGGGCTTAGGATTCGGCAGGCATAGATAATATGCTTTATTCCTCCCTCTCTGTCCCTCTGTCCCGCTTCACACTCGTTATTTTGGCGGCCTTTTACATTGTTAAAATATTATCAATAAAGTGGTATAAAAATTTTTGCGATTATAATTGATCGTCAATCTGTCAATAATAATACATTACAAACCCTTCCAACGCTTTTCCAGTTAAAATTGATAAAACTGAATTAATTTATTTCCTCAAAAAAGTCATAAAAGAAGAGAAAAAACCTGAGTTCGATAATTTTGCATCAGACAAACTCCAATTATGGAAATTCAATATTCCCACGGAGAATGAACGTTAATATAAAGAACGGCCTTGGATAGAAACTAAGCCCGCTTTCAAAGATCAGTAAGTACTTTTCCACTGAACCATCGGAAGAACATATACACATCATCGTACAACGTCCTGAAGAAAATAAAGAGGTCCACGTATGCGCATAAGATTATAAATTTTCAGTGGATGGTATAAACTCCGTGAAAATTTCACATTTCCAGATAAGTAAAGTTGGAACGTGATAGGGTACCATAGTGATTAATACAACGGTATGTATATCATAACGATGTGTTGTCATAAAAAGTATACGGTGCAAATGGTCATGGAAACCCTTTTCTATATTTCTCACCAGACAATGCTGGACCACTACATTTTTCAGTGCAAACATGAATTTTGATATTTAATTACTAGTTGATGTAATTCCGGTTCAAGATAAGGATCTGGGATATCAGATTTAATAACATTATTGTTTATCATTCAATTGTTTTATTTGTTCAATATACACTGTGAATATGTGCAGCACCTCTGTTTTGAAATTCGATACGTTCAAAAAAATGATTATATGATCCCTACCCACTTATTTCGGAATCCTTCCATATTAGTTTTTTTAAAGATTACATTCGATTGATAAAATGTAGTGTTGTGTGTAATGGGCGATTGGTGGGAATTGTATTTCTGTTATCTGTTTTACTCTATAATCCTTCAGCCATGAATAAGGTAATAAATATTGTTGATAATTGTAATTCTTTGATCATTGTATTAAGATGCATCGTTTTTCTTTGAAAATATGTATCACCTGTTCTAATAAATGTTGGTAATGAGATTATTTTTTTCTCATTATATGTATATTTGTTAGCATATAAACTATGCTCCATTATTTTGATGGCTGTTGGTGGATGATAAGATTTGTCTGCACTTTGTTGGTGTAGTATACATCGAGTGTTTTGGTGATTGCGCAATTTTTCCAGTTGTAGATATGACCAACCAGGCCAATAAAGATGTAATCTAAATCTCGGATCTATATTTAACAATCGGTGTTTGATATATTTACCATATGTATCAATATATTGCTGTTTTTTATTTTTAATTGTATGCATTTCGCGATAATGTCCATGTCCATCTGGGAATAAATCAGGAATAGAAGGGCTTCCAAGTTAGGATCATTTATCGAAATCGGTATTAAATCTGAATTATCGTTTTGACAGAATCCTGCTATTAATATTGAATAATGTGCATCTTCACTGGAAAAATTTAGATTTGGTACTACTAATTCCCCTGCTCTAAAAGGAGCTTCCTCATCATCTGCTAAGTGGGTAGCTACAGGAAGACTTGGGATATTATATTGATTCATGAATAAGACTTTATGAAAGGATTATTATTTTTTAGCCACATGGCACCATTTATTAAAGTCACATTTTTATATTCATTACTCAATTTAGAATTGAACCTGATACTAACACGTAATGTCTCCTCGAGTTCTTGTTCACGAGAACTCTCAATCCAATATCCTTTTGAGTTGATATCTTGTTTTTTGTAAATCATCAAATTTTATATGTGAATTAATATAATTACATAGTTTATTTGGTATTATACATTATTAAAATTACCGATAAAAGTAATTTATATTTATATTTGAATTTTCTATTGAAGTAGAACTTCGGCATAAACAAATTAAAGACCCAAGATAAAATTTCGAATTAAATTTTTTGATGCATATTAAATATATAATTTAAAACAGTACACAATATTATTGAGCTATTATACTACAGCTTATAAAATCACATTGTGAAAATGATTTTCGTTCTATATTAGGATTAATCTAAACGTTCTTGTTCTAAAATAGAGAGATTTGATGATCCACTTATTGAAGTATTTACTTGATTATTGGAGCCATCCTGAACAAAAAAATCAGATAACTTCAAAGGCCGAATATTCATTTCCTAATACATTCAATTTAATTAAAATAATCCGAATAATATAAAATTATAAAATTATAATATTAAAAAACTATCACAGAAAATAGATCATGAAAGATGGATGTTACCTTGGGATCAACATCTTTTAGCTCACCACTTGGTGCAGCGTGACTGCGCATATATTCTCGGATCGGAATCATGGCTGCATTTCGGCAGGCCTCTTTTAGATCACTTCCTAAATATCCAAATTTTATATAAAAACTTAGAAACATTTTTTAAAAAGCGCATAGATAAAAATTTAAATCATAATTACCAGAAAAATTTGCGGTCTTATTGACTAATTCTGAAAAATTAAAGCTTTCTTCCAAATTTGAATCTTGAAGCATCTATGAATAAATTAAATAAATAAAAAAAAATATATATAAAAAGTTTGGTTGCAAATTCAAAGTGACGGCATTAAGTTATAAATTTTTTTTTAAAAAAAAAAAAAATCAAAAATTTAACTCACGATCTCAAGAATATTTCTTCTTTGTTCTTCATTTGGGAGGCGAATTGCAAATCTCTTAGGCATGCGACGTAGAATAGCATAATCTATACAGAATTAAAAGAATTAAAAGAATTAAAGAATTATATAGAATGATTAATCAAAATATTTATAAATATGAAAGTGAGATAGATAATAAATTAAAAATACCAATATCATTAGGTCTATTTGTTGCACCAAGTACCTAGATTTATAAGGATACTGATGAGAACATTGGAACTTCATTGGAAACTTTTAAATTATGGAGTAAAAAAATTTTTCAATAGCTCACTACTATGCGGCTATTCTCATCTGTAGTAAGACCATCCCACAAACTAAAATTCAATATAGAATAAATTTTTGATAAAAAAAATTTTATTTAATAATTCTTGAATGATAAAAAAATAAAAATCATGAATTTATTATCACTATTCACCTCATAAATTCTGCCTTCATCATTCCTGTAACCTCGTGATCATTACTTCGTCTTTCCCTCAAGAAGGCATCAATTTCATCAATAAAAATAATACATGGTTGTAATTTTTTTGCAACCGAAAAAACTCCAGAAACAAGTTTGTTCGATTCTCCAAACCATTTATCAGTCAATGTTGAAACGTGAAGATTTATGAAGGTGGCACCTGATTCTCGTGCAAGTGCCTTAGCGAGCATAGTCTTACCAACTCCTATTTTCAATTAATTATAATGGTAATTACATAAATTTACATATGATTTGTCATATAATTTCAAATAATTTAGTACCAGGTGGACCATGAAGTAATACTCCTTTTGAAACTCCCAATAGTCCAGAACTGGAAGTAAATAATTGTGGATAACATAATGGATAAATAACAGATTCTCGAAGAGATTGAATGATTGGATCAAGACCTAATAATAAGAAACCACGTTTTGTAAAGAGGTTTCAACATAAATTTGAATATACAGTAAATGAATATATATAGATAAAATATATAGAAATACTTTTCAATCACCTCCAATTTCTGAAATGTATAAAATAATATATAATTATTAGATTAAATATTCAATCATTATATAATTATTAGAAATTTTACTAATTTTACTATAGGGTTATAACCAAAACTTACGTTTAAAATTTACTGTAATTTCATCCGGAAATATTACTTCTGATAAGATCACTTCTTCATATTCATTTAATTTCAAATTTTTAAGCTGTTGAAATTCAATAAGTTTAAAAATCTCTGCATTAAAATTATTTTAATTATTTTTTTTTTTTATCAGTATTCACCCCTAACTTTCCCAAAACTTCTTCACTTTTAGCCTTTGCTTCTTTTTTTTTGTCTTTAAGCGGATCAAGAGAATTGAGAATAAATTTTACAGCAAAGTAGAGTGCTACTTGTGACAATGCAAAAATGACCACTATAGATCAAATAGTAAAAGTAAGTATAGTATTCTTCGAAATAAATAATTTTAAATTATTTCCGGAGAAATTTTACCATCGGCCACATATTTCTTTGTGTTCGGTGGTGGCATTTTATTTTATTTATAAAGTCAAAGATAACAGTACATCCGCAGTAACTTCAAAGTAATTTTCATGTGAAGCCAAAAAGCATGACTAATAATCTAAAGTTTCGTTTTTTTTTAAGAACGTCTCTTAACCCCAGTCAGTACTTTTTCTTTTTCTTGTATCCCAGGGGTATAGACATTTTTATTTGTTAATCCCGTCGATCAACGCGAGATTTTATATTCATCGAAGACTATAACTCATTACTAAAAAAAAGAAATTCATAAAAGTAAACCCAAAAAAATAATCTATAGATCCTAAGCTTTAATTTTATCGGTTTACTCTTTTTTTTTATTTTATAAAAAGATTTTATTTTATAGAGTTATAAGATTAAATGTTCCGAGATTTCAATCTTTAAAAAAAAAAAAATTAACTGGTATACAGAAATTCATTATATGAATTATCTTAAATTTTTACAAATAAAACTGACAATTATACAAGAAAAAATTTATTTTAAAAGCGTAGATTAGATAATGCAGCTTTCTTGGAGTGTATAATCCTCTCGTATAGGATAATATTAATGATCAAAGGAAACAGAGCGAAGATAGTTTTGTATTTTCATTGAATGAAAAAATTCATTTAACTCTGTTATTTATAATTTCCAATTTAGGTCATTTAATTGTGTAATAGTGAATTTATAGTTGTAATAATGAATTTATAGTTACTTTTTTCGTTTTCTCTTTATTTTCATCAAGAATAAAGAAAAAAATTTATTTTTCCATTATTTATTAATTGTTTCATTTGTAAAAATTTTCGAATAAAGTATTCAAATATTCCGAGATTCATTAAAATTAAGCTCTTTGTAGTTTCGATTAACAATATCATTTAAAATTGATAACCGTTAAAAGCTATAAATATAAAAATTTTTTATATATCATTGAACCGTTCTCTTTTTCAAAGATGTCAATGAATCCCTGTAATCATCGAATTATTGTTCCCGACTGCAACCAAAAGCTATTTGAAAAAATAGCACTCTCAAACTCTCGCCTTGCTCAAATGAACCTTATCGAAGGTAAACTTGAAATTATGGTTCCCAGTTCTCGGCAAACAAATATGTAACTACTTAGCTTAAATTTAGGATGTTGTTTTTGTGCTAAAATGTTTAGATGGGGAATTATTGGGCAAGTTCGCAACTGGTGTCGTGCCAACAGAAATTTGGGGAATTTTTGGTGGCTCTCAAATAAGTTCGCATCATGGCGTTTCCTTTTATCAGATCTTTTTATTTGTTTTTATTGATTTATTAGGGAACCTATATAATTCCTAATGGTACCAATGGTTTTAACACCATAGGCCCTGATTCATCCGTTGTACTTTCGTTCCAGATTTGAACGTGATCAGATATAAAGACAGTTTGCTTGCTTTGCACCATCTTTTAATTTTCACTTTTATTATATCATAGATGGGACGCCTTCCAAAGTAATAGTGAACCAGGAGGATACCCACAAATCGCGCCAAACTTTATTATAGAATAACGCTCATCAAGCAATACAGCTTTGGAAGTTAATAGGAAAATAAATTTATGGATGATTGGAGGAGTCGATGTGTGCCAATAATTATTTTGTTTGTTGTTTATCGATCTTTATGCTAACAGATATTATAAAAATATACAGTCATAATAACAATAATATAATAACATGTCACGAAATTACTAATTTACCCAGGCTACCCAGATCACTTCACAAATTCTCCCCAGATTTGTATTTGACATGCTAGATATCTTTTAATGGTAGATACCTTTCTTTTTGTATTTTCACGGTAATTATTAGCATTTAATATATACTTGGAGTTAAATATAGTCACTAAATGCGATTTTCATTTTAGATTTTTACCCCAAAAATGGAAAACTTACTATGAATATTTTCTTTATGCACATTTATTATTGGAAATGAGATTGTCCATTTATGTAAAGTGTTATTTCGCTAAAAAAAAGGGGGGGGGATAGTGATAAATATTGAAAATTTCAAATTTTATATTCTTACTAAAAGTACATGAAAAATTAATAAAAAATGTGAGGTAATCTAATATAGATGATGAAAAAACTATATCTTTTACAATTGAAATTAGATAAGATCTCACATGAGAGTGAAAAAGGGATAAATTTTTTTGTTGAATATTCATGATTTGTTGTCAATTATACTTTATAAATAAATATTTCTATATTAACTAATATAATAATAATTAAATAATTATCTACATTATCTATATTCCCATGGCATATTTCATAATTTCAGACTAAAAAAAAATTAAAAATTAGAAATTAAAATTAAAAAAATAAAAATGAAATTTTCAAAAAAAAATAAGAATTTCTATATACCTTCAAAGGACCAAATCTATTGATCATTTCTAATCCTAAAGATCTAATACAAACTAAAGGTGTTATCTTTGTTCCAAATAATTTATGTAGTTTATCAACTGCACCAAGCATCAAGATATTAGATAAATATCTTTCAGAAGAGTAATTTTTAAGCAATTGTAAATTTCCTTTTAATTTTAATATAATAAATAATGATTCTTATTAATTTTTATGTTTTTAATTAAAGAAAAAAAATAATAATAATAAAAATTACCCAAATCTTGACCAGTAGTTACACCATATTCAATAACTTTAGCTAAACATTTCACATCAGCCAATCCTTGATTTAATCCTTGTCCAGCAAGTGGATGAATCGTATGTGCTGCATCACTAATAATATTAATAGTATTAATAATGAATAATAATAAATTAAATAATGAATAATAATAAATTTAAATAATAAAATTAATAGATTAAATAATATATTGTTAACTTACCCAACAAGTACAACTCGTTTATCAATGTAACTTTCAGCATTCCTCATTCTTAAAGGAAATCCAGCACGACTTTTTTCTTGAACATTCAAAACAAGTGGAGGAAGACTAAATTTGGTTTTTTTGGCTTCTATATTATTTCGCCAATCAAATTCAACTCCTATATCAAAATTGTCATCCTCCAAATGAGAGAAAAAGTATTCTAGATCGGCTACACGAAGTCGAAATGCTGCATTCACCAGATTAATAAAATTATTTTTCGGAAGCGTTCTTATTTTGGATGCAAGTGTAGGAGTTGTAGACCATACCATTGAAGCAAATCCATCTGGCATCTTTTTATAGTAAACAACTAATAATGACTATAATGACTACTCTAATATAATTGATAAATTAAATAATAGACACATGACTTGTTCATACCGGCAACATTGCAATAGGTCCCGTTGGCAAAAACCTTTGCCATGCGGTCCCATTTTCTACCGGATGATCTACGAGCAAGGTGGCCACCACTGCATGTGCATCATAATCCCAACCTATCGATTCAATATTGATAAAGGAACGGACAATAGAATTAAATCCATCTGCCCCTACCTATTATTAAAATAAGATTCAAATAAGGTTACTAACATGTATTTATGTATGTATGTATGTATGTATGTATGTGTGTGTGTGTGTGTTTTAAATTACTCACCAATAATCTAGTTTTTAAAAAATTTCCGTCACTTAATTTTATATTTGGCCAACCGGACAAATCAAATTGTCCATTTACATTAGGTACATTAGGTGTACTAGAATCATCTAAAAAAATTCCTTCAACTTTTGTATTTTCAAAAAAATGAAAATTGAAATCTTTGTACTTTAAGAGTCGAGTAAGAATTGCTTGTTGAATATTATGATTTTCTACTATCCATCCAATATTTTCTAAATTTGTACGAAATGTATTATTATCTTTACAATTAAAATTTATTCTAGCGTCTGTAATTCCATCCCATACTTGAATATCATTAAAAGGTTTAACGCGTTCTAGTACAAAGTTTTCCCATACTCCGATATCTGTAAAATTATATCAGATGATGATATATATAATTATCTTAATTATATCCTAATTTTTACAATTAAACAATGATAATAATACCTTTAAAGAATTCTATAGATTGAGGTGTCAAAGCACTAACACGATTGGAAAATTCGTTTGGTGAAGGTTTCCATTCTTTTAGATATGACACGTCACTAAATTCAATAAGGGCAACGCGTTGCGATTTTGTTATCTTGGAATTTGCTATAATATATATTCATCGAATAGTAAAAATTCGTGAATAATAAATTCATATGTTTTCATCCATAAAACCTATATATATTAAAACTATGTTTACCTAAGGCACAGGCTAAAGCATTTCCGGCAATTCCACCTCCAACAATAACAATGTCATAAATGTTTTCTAAATTTTTACGACTTTCATCATTAGGTTCATTAGGTAATAATGTAACAAATAATCTAGAGTTACAGTGTTTGACCACTTGTTTACGAAAAAATAATTCATTATGTAGAAATCGATTAAATTTAAATCGATGGAAAGATTTCAAAATCATTTTTATGTCAGATTTGATAATTTTTGATTTTTAATTTTTTTTTTGATGGTGTTCATGTGACATCTGACAATCAAACTAAAAAAAAAAGAAAAAAAATCCCTTCGATAGCGCGAGTATCAAGCTTTTATAATTTTTATAAAGGTTAGTATCTAATACGAAAAGACGGATTTTTATTTTACAATTAAAAATTTTTTACGATAAAAATAACATTGATTACTTTAAACTATTATTTTTTAATATCTATTTGTATTTGTATCTTTGTATATCATTGTATATCATTATGGCATTGCATTATTTTTATGAATATTTAAAAGTTAGAATTTATAAAAAAAATACACAATATGAATGCAGAAAAACTTGCCAAACTTCAATCCCAAGTTCGAATTGGTAAGATTAAATTTTTTAAATTTTTTTTATTTATTTGGGCATTACATATCTAAATTATAAAAAAAAAAATTATCTGGAATTATATATATTTTTTGTTTATTCCATAAATCACCACTAACAAATTATAATCCAAATTATTATTTCTTTATGAATCACGTTTAATTTATAGGTGGTAAAGGTACTCCCCGCCGTAAGGTTAAAAAGGTTTACAAAACTGCCACAAACGATGACAAAAAACTCCAGTCTACACTCAAAAAACTTAATGTTCAACCCATTCAAAATATTGAAGAAGTAAACATGTTTAAAGAAGATGGAAATGTCATTCATTTTACGGCACCAAAAGGTAAATAAAAAGAATTATAATAATTATAAACTTTATATGTTCAAAATTCATATATTAATATATAATAAATAATTTATAGTTCAAGCATCCGTTCAGGCAAATACTTTTGCGATTTATGGTCAAGGGGAAGAAAAAGAACTTACCGAACTTGTACCGGGCATTTTGAGTCAATTAGGACCCGATTCACTTGCATCCCTTCGTAAATTGGCTGAGTCTTATCAACAACTTAATCTCGCATCTCAAAATGTACAAACAGAAGCTAGTAATGATGATGATATTCCAGAATTAGTTGAAAATTTTGAAGTCACAAGTGAAAAGAAAGAAGAGGAAGAAGGTACAACTGATGATGTACCTGCACTTGAAGAAGCACCTGTATCCGAAGTAAATAAAGTAGATTAAAGTTAAGAATTAATTAATTTTTGAAAATAAGAAAATAAAGGAGGTTAAAGAGGACAAAAAAAAAAAAGAAAAGAAAAGAAACTTTGTAAAGAAACATATTTACGAAAAGATCAGAAAGTGCAAGACAAAATTTCGTAAGTGAATTAGATAACAAACACATATTAAGGTTAATACGCATAATAGTAAACCAAAAATTCTAATAGCTTTTATTTGTTTTATAATTTTCTGATTATTCAAGAAAATTTTTGTATTGTTTTTTAATGACATTTTAATAGAAATCTTTTTTTATTGTGCATATTACTTCATATTACAAAATACTTCTATTACATAGTACTTCTCCTATTACAGTACTTCTGCTTTCTTGGTAGAAACGTAATATTGTATAGAACTTTTTTTTTTTTTAATATTATTTGTCTATTATTTTGTATTGAAGAATTCTTTTGTCAAAAAATGTATATTATAATAAATATTATATTATTATAATCAAGTTTCTTTACCCTAAATTAATCTAAAGAATGGACGCTATTATCAAAGATTGCTATTTACCGCTTAAGATTAATATATATGCTGATTTTTTATTCACTTATGTGAAAATTGTAAAGCATAATCATTTGTAGATCATACATATCATATATGATTTATTTAAAGATATATAGAAAAAATAATATATATATTATAGATTTATTATGTTTTCTTGGACTTTTGAACTTTTTATTGTCATCTAAAAAAAAATTATTTTTTCACCCATTATAATAAAATAATTTCATACATATTCAATAACAATTTTATGTATAACAGCTATTTTTTTTTCTCATCTTAACTATTTCACATTTAAGACTAAGAGTTGAGGGAATTTTAAAGGATCTACAATTAATAATTTTATGAGAGAGATAATTCCTGAATTAATTTCATATTTTATTGTTTTTTTTTTATTCTTTAGAATTAAAGTAGGATATAGCAAGGTGAAAAAAACTATTTCCTCTAAATAATTAAACAAGAATAAGTCTTGATATATAATTTTATATTATATATACAGAAAATAAAATTACTAAAAATGTTTCTACAGTGCACGCCACCTAAAGACGGACATGTCACGTGCTTTAGGTCTTTAGGTGGCGTGCACTGTATTTATTAGATTACCTAATCCATTATGTAAATAGAGTAAATGCATAAAAATTTAGATGACATTGAAGGTCTATTGAATTCTTTAAAGGTACAGTATTATATTAAATATCATCATTGTTTAATATTCTTTAATGTAAAACTATGTTAATTAGGATAATTATATCTGATTTAATTTTTACAGACGCGTTAACCTTTTTAGATATGTACGGATGGCATTACAGAGCAGATCTTTCTCTCTTTTGGGAATGACTTAATTGGCGTGCAAATAATATGGAAGCAAAAATTAAATTTAATTTCTTCCACTTGTTTTGAATGTTCAAGAAAAAAGTCGTGCTGGATTCCCATTGGAGAATGAGGATTCTTTTTTTTTCTTGAAGCGCTATAGTTAGTTTATTTGTTGGAAACACGTGACAAATCCTATAAAAATTGTTCTTTGCGAATGATACTTACTCAAAGAAGCAAAATTATTTTTTTATTTTTATTATTTTCTATTTTTTATTTAGTAACATCAAAAAAAGCCAAATTTTAATTTGAACCGATTTCTTATCCTTGTTAATATTATAAATAACATACTAAAGAATATTTTTTTAATAAAGTTGAGGCGGCAATAAAATATATAAAAAATGTAAAGTAAAATATATAAAAATGTAAAATAACTTGATATAATTATAAAAAAAATAAAACAGCTTTTTAAATAATAAAATAAATAGTACATAAAATAAAAAATAAAATAATTTGAAATAAAAAAAAAAAATTTTAGTCATGAAACTGCAAATCCAGATTTGAAGAACCAGCAACTCTATATTCTTGATCAACTAAAAGAAAATAATAAATTTACAAAATATGCAATAGTTATTTACCATGAAATCAGAGATATCATCAGAATTCCACGGCGGGGCCGTGAGAATTCTGATGGTATCGACGATTGAGCGGTAAATAACTAATATATATCCCGGAGACTAACACCCATGATACTATACATTGATATTTTCTCAGAAATATTACATTATTATTGTAGTAAAAATTAGCGGTATGATATATCTCGGTATTACGTAATAATGATATTTCCCCCTCCCAAAAAAAATAAAATCAGATTCCGAAAGTAAATCAGGGAAAATATCAATGTGTAACAAATAGTAAACGGGGTATATAGAATGGTATAAAATGAAATCATATTTAAATATCTTGAGAATCATCATCACTAAGTGATAGTTGCATAATTCCTATAATTATGAAATACAACAAATTAGATTAATTTAAATTAAACAAAATATTTAATTGTATTAAAAAATTAATAAAATATTACCTTCAGGAAGTTCAAGTTTAAATTGGTTAGTTTCATATGCTAAATATAAAATGTACAAAATTACATTAAGATAAGATTAAATTAGAGATTTCTATTGAAATAATAATTAATTATTTTACCTAGTTGTTCTTCTATAAAAATGAAAAAATCAATAAATTAATTAATAACTATAAAATCAAATAAATAAATAAATAAAAAACCAAATTTAAAAATATATTACCTTCTGTGGCATTTCTAGGTTGAGCTGAAATGTCAAATGTATATACTTTACTGGTTTGAGAAATGCTAGATGTATATACTTTACTGGTTTGGAGTTTTTGGCTACTTTTATCTTTTGTTATGCTTGATTGGGAAGAACTATTAGATTGAATAGTTGGTTCTTGTTGCTTATCCTTTTCATCATATAATAATTGAATTAATGATTTCATTTTATCACGAATTTCATATGCATCAGGTCTATTATCAGGGATAGCATCCCAACATTGTTTCATTAACTTTGCATATTCATATGGAATATGTTTGTAAATTTTAGGTCTAAATCCATCAATTATAGCAATTAATAACGCAGTATCAGAATCAAACTTATGGTTTCCAAAGGGAGTTTCACCAGTAATCACTTCCCACATTATAATACCTAAACTATACACATCTGATTTTGTTGTATAATTTTTTTGACATAAAATTTCAGGTGCAATGTATGGGAGACTCCCATAGGTACCATCTAATTGTTTGTTAACTGGCCCACTCATTCCTAAATCACTAATAAGCCAACTATTATTTAATACATTAAATAAAATATTTCCTGAGTGCAAATCTCTATGCATTATATTTTGGTAATGAATTTTAGTTAAATTATTTGTTATGCGGCGAATAATCTCATATTTCATTAACAATGTAAGTGATTGATGATTATCTCTTAAAAAATGTCTTAAATCAATATCATAATAATTTAAAATTAACATATAATCTTGGGTTTTTGGATCTTTAGTCATTCCGTAACATGATGCAAGATATTGGCCAGTATTATCAAGTGTGAAACTTAACGCCATCTATCAATTTTTTGTGTAATTATGTAATTAATATTTCTGAATACTAAACAGAATTTAATAAATGCAATAATAATAATTTTAACTTACTTCTTGAAACCAACGCATATTACTATTATTATTTGAATCATTCAATCTTTTCAAAACAATCTTTTGTTTTTTTCCAAATCTTTCCAATATTTGCCTTTCAGAATTCCATTTACAATAACATCCATTTTTCCAAATTGCTGTGTAGACAGTAGCACATCCTCCTTTTGCCAGATATTTGACATTTTCAAATTGATCATAATTAATCCATTCAACTACATGATTAGGTTTTACAGTTGTTTGCTGACATTCTTGAATTAATTTGTCAATTTCATTATTCCCAGATGTCCAATTTCCAAAATTATTTTCTAAATATTTACGAATACAAAATTCACAATATCGGGCTGCCTGTTGCCAATTCTGACACTTGTCGCATTGTTTTTTTTCTACAGAATTATCGTTGATTCTTAATGAATCATATACTTTTTGTAATTCATTAAGTAAAAATTTCTTTTCATCTTCTGTGAGAGATGAATCATTTTCAACAATATCTTTTCGATATTTTTCTTTCTCAACGATTGTTTTATGAATCTTGGTGTCCATAGAAAAGAATGATTTATCAAAAACTTCCTTTAATTTAGAATTCCATCCAATTTTTTGAGAAGACATTTCTTATTTCATTTAAATTTAAATAATTAATAAATAATTAATTAATATATAATTTGATTGTTTATCATTTTATTTACAAATAAAAATAACAAAAATATAATCTAAATACCGTGACTTTAATAATTTATTAATGATTGGATTATATGTGTGCAGGAAATTATACTAAGAAAATAATAATTTTATACGAGACGCAGAAGATATAAAATTTTTAATCGCAGGTTCTACTTATATAAATAATTTAACTCCGTCGAAGGAAATTAGTGCCCTGTTAAATTTCCTTTTAAGTTAGTCATGAACATAGATTATGCAATAACGTATGACTTGTTTACGGCATACAGATAGGTAAGATTTCACTAAAGATAGGTTTTGTTTTTTTTTCTTCCCAAATCTGGTGTTGTAAATAATAGGAACGTATGCAGCAGGCATTAACCATAAATAGTTTGTCTGGTTGAAAAACTGACAAATATATCGTGATTACATAAATTGTATTAATTATATAATGAAAATTTGACATTGAAGATGCAAGAAAACTTTTTCATTTTTCTACTGTTTTGCTTTTGCCAGTTGGTAAGACCTATGGTTTCAATAGGCGACCTTGATAGTCTCTCTTTATTTTTTTTCATAGAGTGGTAACATTGTATATACTTATTATTATCTCTTCATGAAATATGCATATTTTTTATAAATTAAAAAATCTGGATTTTTATTATTGTATCATAAAACAAAAAAATATTCTATAAAAAAGATGACTTTTCTTTTTTGTCTCTTGAATCAATATATCAGTGCAATGGCATGGTGTTAAAAGTACTCAATTATGCTGTGATATTTGTATTAAAGTATCTTGAACCATCATCCAAGATACGCCAACCGGGATCTTCTTGATATTTACTACCTACAATACGATTTTGCAAAGAACAACACGAAAAATTTACTTCATTTGAAAAATCATAATTAGGGAACAAAAAAAAATTTATTATTATCAAGACGGGTAACTCTCGGAAAAGGACCATTTTAATTTTGATGTTACTATCAAATCTGGTGTAATTTTTATATCGAGTCGTTTGGTCACACACAAAATTTCAGGTTACAATCTAATTTTTCTTCCTCGTGGATACATTTTCTATCTGCACACGTCACGTTGCATACCTTGTACCTCCATAGCTTAAGAAATCTTGTTTTGTGGATGTCAGAAGGTAGGCCAAGAATTATATAAATAAAATTATTTTAAATTACGAAAAGTGATATAATGCTTTTGGTAGAATACTTTTGCTCAAGATTGATAATCGATCTCATAAACATAATCTATAACTAAATAAGTCAGCCATTTACTTGTTAAACAATTTGAGTGTGGCGATAGTCTAATTAAATGCATAGAAACAAAATAAAATCTTAAAAATGTTAATGTGATAAAGATCTTTATTTAATAGTAATTGTCAAGCCTCTCATTGTATCATTGTATCCTGGTAATACACGGTCACAACATTTTTATTTTAAAGAAAAAAGGCACGATCTACAAGATAAAACCTGAGCTTACTTAATACTAAAATTTGTGCGATCGGTTTGCAATTTAATTGGCTAAATATAGTTGAAAGAGTTATATAACACTCGCCGCACTTGTGAATAGAGAACTTTTCTTTTTTACCTACGGCATTTCTATTGTTTATTTACATCTGCTGTATTAAGATTTCATTATGGTAAGTCGTCAATTATTTTTCTCTTATGAGGTGAAATAGTTTATAGAAACCTCGCGATCATACTGAAAACGTAATATAGAGTTCTCAATATGGCAATATTTTATGTTTTTCAAACACGCTTTGAGTCTGGAGAAAACAACTTTTAAACCTCCACTTTCAAGTTTATTTTATCACAATAATGTTCTAAAAAAAAGGATATATAATGTCAGATACGGGAATTAGAGAAGCTATATATAATATATATTTTTTTTTTTAAAAAAAAAAAAAAAAAACTCTGAAAATATTAATAAATATAATATATAATTTTTAAATTTTTTATATGTTTTAGGATCAACTTAACGAAGAACAAATTGCTGAATTCAAAGAAGCTTTCACCTTATTTGATAAAGATAATGACGGTACTATTACAACTAAAGAACTTGGTACTGTTATGAGATCTCTTGGTCAAAATCCCACTGAAGCGGAATTACAAGATATGATCAACGAAGTAGATGCCGATGGTAATGGTACAATTGACTTTCCAGAATTTCTAACTATGATGGCTCGTAAAATGAAAGATACTGATTCTGAAGAGGAAATTAAAGAAGCATTCAAAGTTTTTGACAAAGATGGTAATGGATTCATTTCTGCGGCTGAACTGAGACATGTTATGACTAATCTTGGTGAAAAGTTGACTGATGATGAAGTAGACGAAATGGTAAGTAATAATGATATAATTTTTCAAATTCTGATTATATAAAGTTACAAGCCACATTTGTAAGCCATGATAATTACAATGATATTTACATGGTATACATTTATTTATTTATTTATTTTTTATTTATTTTTTTTTTTTTATTTATTTATTTAAAAGATTCGTGAAGCTGATGTAGACGGAGATGGTCAAATTAATTACGAAGAATTCGTTAAGATGATGATGACTAAGTAATTTTTAATAATAAAAAATAAAAATTTTGCATTAACCCATAATTAGAAATACAAAAAAAAAAAATAGGAACGTTGGTTACAACCATATTTAATCATTTATAGGTTTTCATAATTTATTCATTTTAATAGTAAAAGTGATATATGCGTGATATATATTACTCGTTTGATCTTTGTTTAATAGATTTTAGCTTGAAGTTCTTATTTTTTTTTTTTTAATATTAAAAATAATAATTATGAAATATTTATGGGGATTAGCTTTGTAATAATGTAACTTATATTTTATTATATATATACATATGTAATTTCACATTAAAATCAATATATTATTAATGTCTTAAAGGGTGAATAAGAGATCAAATGAAGAGGATATAAAAACTGTACGCATAATCGGTTTGGGAGAATTATAACATTTATCTTTTGATTGTCAAATAATAAGTAAATAAATCAAGTATCAGGTAAAAAAATTGATATAATTTAATTGCAGGTAAGAAATTTTTAACCATAAAAAATAATTTATTTGTTATAAAATATCGAGTGATCATTAAAATAGACAATATTGTAACTACAATTAATAACAAATTTTTTCGAGACAAAACGATTAACTTTATCTCAAACATAAATTACATTAAAATAAATAAATAAATAAATAAATAATAATAATAATAATAATAAGTAAAAAAAATTAATATTTCTAATATAATTAAAAATGTACATTGGAAAATTGTCTATTCTAAAATAATGTAATAGTAGCCACATGTCCGTTCTTCATAACTTCAAATACTGCCCCATCATATCCACTTAATTCAGTAGGTCCAAATGGATTTTGTCCACCAGCTCCCCGATTATAAATAAGTGGTCTTCCTGTAGGTGGACCTAAAAGTTCATTTATTTTATCAATCTTCATTTCTGCACTTATATATGCAATTCCATTTTGCATTTTTTGCATTGATGATGGTGTTTGATTATTATCTTCTTCTTCTTCTTCTTCTTCTTCACCAAAAACTTCAAGTCTCGCAATTTCATTAGTCATATCAGGAATAGAATTTACTTTGGAATGTATTAATATTTTATATGGACATCTCTTAAATCTCTGAAAATCATAATGTCCCGGAACATTACCGTGTAATATAATTTTTTTACAACGATGAGTCATCCCATCAAATAAAACATCAAAACCAAGATGAAAATAATTGTAAAAATAATCAATTGGATGTTCTGCACCTCCTTCATGATTACTACCTGTTAAACCATTTGACAATACATTCTTTTCGTTTACTCTACTATCCACATTATCTATGCTACTAACATCTTCTGAATGAATACGCATCTTATCTTCTTCTTTATAAAATATTCGTAAAGCAGACCCTATATCTACTAGTAGATCTTGTGCTGTGGTAACATTTAAGAGTATCTCTTTAGAAATTTGATTCGAATTGTTTCTATCATAAAAGTTTATGGTAACTCCACGTTTTAATTCCGCAATAACACTTTCTATCTCACCAATTTCTCCATTTCTAGATCCAACATTTTCTGAATTTGTACCTCTCGTTAGAGATGGTACTACAGAAGTACGGAAGTTGGATCCATGGAAAGTGTATAAACGAGAAAGTATAGGCGATGTACCATCTGGAAGTTCTAATGGAAGATCCGATGATGAAATATATAAAGAAACGTGTTTTTCCGGAATTGGAAACACAAATGAAACTCCTGGATAATTCAATGTGTATTCATTTGTTGAGCTATCCAATTCTCCTGGATATGTGGGTCCGAATATTTTATAAATAGAAAGAAAAGTTGGAGCGACTTTACTTGAACTAACTTCACTGTCCTGATAAGTTAACCTTAATTTTGAAAAATCATAAACTTCAATCATTTTAAGTCGTTGTGTTGGACCATCGAATCTCAAGTGCATACCATTAACTGATAAGGAGAGGAATAAATCTGTAGTAACGGGTGATTCATCTGTATACTTTAAGTCAACTGAAGGAATGACTCGAGATTGTTTTCTTAGAAAATTTATCACGTCCCATATTGAAGTACCTAGTCGAAACCAACCAAGACTTTTTCCTGGTACAATAGAAAGATCTAATCTTTGCTCAAGACGAATCTGAACGTCGCGTGTATTATTAAACATATTAAAATTATAAAGCCGAAGTCATCACACCTAATTAGGAAATTTATATTAATTTACATGCTATACTAAATTTTTTGATTGGCTATTTAAATATAAGACATACTTGTACAAGATGCACGTGATTTACAACAAATATTTTATTTTATATTTTTAAAGCAAAATTTTTTATTGGGCATGCAAATCTTATCTACGAAAAAGAAAATTACAAAGATGATCAAAGACAATTAAAAACTAATATGATAATTTCACTTATTCTTTAAAATGAAATTAGACATTTTTATACATTTATTCACTTGTTAATCTTTTATAAATTGACCTGTTATTTGTAATAAAAAAAAAAAAAACAAAAAATAAATTTTAGCACATTAGAAACTGATAACAATAGAAATAATAACAAATAGTTTGCATATTGATATAATCAAATAAGATATATATATAAAAAAAAGATATACCATTGAGCTCCATAGAACAATCCTAACCCAACGGTACCCAAGCCTACGTGTGTTTTATTAACCGATGGCCTCTTAATTATCCAGCTCGTAACCAATCCAGCAATTACGATATCAACAGCAACTCCCAATGCTATTACTTTCTTTGAAACTTTACGTTTTCCACCTTTACTTCGTTTGCGAGATGTTTCCTTTGATTTATTGTCATCAATAGAACGGGTAGTATCAGAATCAAAAACATCACGATTTAAACTCAAGGTGGCTTCAAAATTTTCGGATGATTTGTCTTCTTCGAATTGATTATTATTATAATCGGTACCATTAATTCGAACTTGGTTATTTACGGAATTTTGCAAATTCGAATTGTTAACTATCAAATCAGCTTCTGTATCTTCCGTAGCATCCACTTCATTATGAGATTTTTTCGCTACTTCAGCGTAAGTTTGAGCCATTTTTTTTTAAAAAGTAATTTTTGATTGGGATATTTTATAAAAAAAATTAATTAAAGAAATTAAAGAGAGAAAAATTAATTATCAAAAAAAATATATCAGTTGATCTATTTTTTTATTTTATGGCGCAAAATCCCCCAAACATAGTATAATTTTTTTTTTTGTATAGCCGCTCCTGCTCCTAAAGGAAACTATACTATGAGATCATCTATTAAAAGTTTGATTTAATTGATAAAACAGGTTAATTTAAAGTTAGATTGCAAAAAAAAAAAGTAAATCATACTACAGTAATTATATTGTGAGATATTTATAGTAAACCTATCACGTGCAATTTTTTATGAAAGTATGATAATATAAATTTGTGGTAAAAACAAGGCCATCACATATTCTCAAAGATGTTAGCCAATACCAAAAATGGAAGAATGTCTTTACATAAATGGAATGCAACAAAAATTTGGTGTTTCATAGATGTGTATTTCTAAGGGGTTCGCTTGAAGTTTGTAGTTATTCAAAAATCAAACTCAAAGAAAGAGTAAAAGAATTGGATAAATCGATTTTTTATTTCGTCCCACACTCATTTTCTATTGTCTGATGATTTGTTAACATTTTAACATTATATTCTTATTTAATCAATCTGTTTCTAAAAAGTCAATTACGTCACCATATATAAATTTCTCCGTCGCACAGACCTGCCGGAGAGAATTGTAAGCACGTGACGGAATAAAATTAATTATAATGCAAATATAAAACAATACCAATACAAAACAATACAATATGCATTTTATTAATTCTATAAATTTTCTTAATTTTCTTGAAGTGTTTCGACATCAAAATCATGTCTCTAAATACCGAAAAAGAAAAAATTTCGATAATGGCCGGTCGTCATTCTCCACAAAACATTTCAATATATAGTTTTGGATTTGGAACGATGTTTGGAATATTTGTCGTTGTAGCCTATTGTTCAGAATCATTCATGCCACTAGGAATTTATATGGCAGCTTTAGCATTATTTCACGAATTAGAATATTTATTAACAGCATTATTTAATGCTGATAAATTAACATTAGATGGTAAAGTTTTCACATTATAAAATAAAATAATATGTATCCCGAAAGTTAAAAAAAAAATATTTTCCTAATCCAAACTAAATAATCTTTTTTAGCCTTTTTATTAAATAATGGTAACCATTACTATATCGCCAATGGTTCTGGTTTGATTGAATTCTTAATCGAATTATATTTATTTCCCGGTTTAAAAAGAATTAGTTTTTTACATTATCTAGGTAATTGATCTAAAATTTGAATTAAATTCATGAATTTTAAATATTATTCATAATAACTTTCTTTTTTTTTTTTTTAATTAATATAATTAAATATTATAATTTATAGGATTTACATTGATTGTAATAGGTCAAATTGCTAGAACTCTGGCAATGTGGCACGCTAAACATAATTTTAGTCATCAAGTGGCTACTTATAAACGTCAAGAACATGTTCTTGTAACTACGGGAATTTACGCGTGAGTGTTAAATCATCTTTTTCCGTTCTGTTTGTTTGTTTGTTTGTTTTGTTTGTTTTGTTTGTTTAATATTTCTCTTTCTGTTTTACTTTCACATGTATTTATTATAATATTTATTATATAATGGTTTTTGATTTTAAATAGATATTTAAGGCATCCATCATATTTTGGTTTCTTATGGTGGGCTGTTGGTACGCAAATTTTACTTTGCAATCCTTTCAGCGCAATTGGTTTTTTTATTATTCTAAAAAAATTCTTTCAAAATCGGATCAGAGAAGAAGAAAAATTCTTGATAAAATTTTTCGGTAACGATTATATTGAATACCAAAAAAGAACTTCTATTTTTATTCCTTTTATTTAAATATATTTCAATTTATCATAATTTTACATTTGTTAACTTATTTATTTTTCTCTTCTAAGTCAAATATTGTATAAACATTTTACATGATTTTACTTTTACATAATTGTGTTGTATCATATTTATTAAACTTAATAATAATAATAATAAATTTTTTTTCATTGGATATGGAACATATAAATCATAATTATTACTGATTAATGAAATTGTATGTTATTAAACTATTTTAACTATTTTTTGATGTGATCCAAAAATGGTAAATCATCGATAAGGCGTACTTTATCTAGGCGATCATATGACAATCAATTTAACTTTTAAACTTTGCATTTTTGAATTTTCATTAGAAAACATTCTTTTTTTACTTTTGGAAACAATATGTTTGTTATAAAGTCTCTTGGAAAATTAATTTGGGGTACGTAAAATGTACATTATATAACTTCATTTCAAAAATTGTCGTTTTTTGTCATTTTATATTCTTATTGCATTAATGCTGTGATAATTTAGGTAACCCAAATAACCCTGAACTCATACAAATATCTGCTGGTCAATTATATCTCGTGAGACCAGATAGTCTAAAAGGAAATAGAGAATGCATGTACGTTTCATTAATTAAATATTTCGCGAGATCACGAAAAATATAAGTTAATCATTTAATTATTAATCTATTTGATTATTAATTATTAATCCATTTTAATTAATTAATTAATTAATTAATTATTAGTTTTCATGATGCAACAGCAATTGTGAGGCGTACTGGAACAGAATGGCAATATCAACTAGTTATTGCGCGAGTTTTTGATGAAGGTGAAGAAGAATTAGAGGAGGAGGAGGATGAAGAAGATTTTGAAAGTACTACAATTGTTTTATCTTCTATAATATCATTTCCTTTTTTCTTTTTTTTTAAAAAAAAAAAAGAAGAAAAGTTACCAAAATAATCATTTTGTAAGGTGAGGATGAAAAAGCTTTCCTTATTGATGAATCCATCGAATTCCGAAAAGGTCATTTTGAAGGGTTGACCACGTTCTGTTGGAAAGATCCGGCGGGAGTGAGTAAAAGATTATAGCTTTAATCGCGTAAATCTTTTAAATTCATAATAACAATAATAATAATAATAATAATAATAATTTAAATTATTTTTGATAAAAGGATCCTGAAGAATTATTTGAATTCGTATGTGATCTAAGTACCATTGCACATACTGTTAATGCTTTCGAATACACAGTATATTATTGTATGTATGAACGAAAATACAAAAAATCGCGCGAAGAAGCTACAGATCAAGATATTCAAAGTTTTATATACTTGTAAGTCAAAAATTATTCTTATGTAAAAGGTTTCTATGATTAATACTTATTAAATTTAATTTTATTAAATAATAATATTATTATTCTATTAGACCGAAAATTGAAAAAGTTGAAAGCAATATTAATAAATCTCCTTCAACTCCAAAACGTGAAAAGTCAACTACCTCATATTCATCTCCTATATCAGCAACTACGACGCCACCCAATCGTAGGGACATATCAGGTCCTTCTACGCCTAAAAAAAATACTGTAGCTTTAGATTTTCCTGATTCCCCAAGTATTGATCTGGTTGCAACAGCTCAAGTCGAATTACATTGTTTTGATCCAAATAGTGGAGAATTTGTATTAAAGTCACCACTCGCAACTGCTAAAATTATGAAAGGAAGATCATATGAATGTATGTGTTAATTAGAATTAATTAATTTATTATGTTTTCATTAAAAGTTAGTTTTCAGATGGTTTCTTACATTTTCATACAAATTACAGATTGGCTTGTTGTCGATGAAAATTCTACCAGACATGTTGGACAACGAATTGAACCAAGAATGAATCCTGTATTTAATTCGGTAAAGAATTTAATTCAACCAAATTCAAATTCGAAACAAAATTGAAATGATTTTAATTTAATAATTTTTTATAATAGGCTCATCAATGCCTCATATGGTGCTATTTTGGTGGTAAAAAATATTGCGTACATAAATTAATATATTTCGTACATAGATTTTATGAAGAATTAAGATTTTAACTAAAAAATTCAATTTTACATTTTACAGAATTAAGTCAGGTTCATTCCTTCTTGATCCGTTTCCTAGAAAGAGAAGACGAATATAATTTCAAAAGAAAATATACTACCAGTATGTACGAAACTCTTAATGAGACTAAAGCAAAAGTAAAATCTAAATGATTCATTATTCTTACTTTTAATTAATTCCGTACATTTGATATTAACTTGATATTAATTTTTCGTTTATCCAGGAAGATGAACAAGAATATTTAATGAATGCTTATCAAGATGATATTGAAATGCCTGATGCTGACTCATCCGATCAATCAGAAACAGAAGAAGGTTGTGAAATTTTTTTTCTTTTATATAAAAAAAAAAAATTTCGGAATTCATTTAACATCTCGTTATTAATATGTATTTATTTTTTTTTAATCATTCTTTCATAGAAACTGATTCTTCAGATGAAGAAAGTGATTATCACCAAGATAAAAATCCTTCCGGAGATACTGACGATATTAATTCACAACTTCTTGTTGGGTACAAACACGATAGATCATTTGTCCTAAAAGGCAACAAGATAGGTGTCTTTAAGCATACTGACGATGATCGATTGGAGTTTGATTCAAACATTAGTGAAATCAAGAAACCTGGGGGAAGAAAATTCAATCCCACTAAAGTTTGTTTGTTTGTTTTTTTTTTTTTTGTCTTTAAATTTATGATACATTGAATCATTTAATAAATTTATTATATTACAATTAATAGGGAATGTTACATGAAGAGGATTCCTCTATTATTTTAATGGATCCTGACGATGAACATAATTTATATAAAATGGATTTGGAATGTGGTAAAGTTGTGGAAGAATGGAATGTTCACGATATATTCCCTGTAGCAAACATATTCCCAAGTAACAAATTTGCTCAAACGACTGCGGAAAAAACCATGATTGGAATGTCACACAATTCTCTATTTCGAATTGATCCTCGACTTCCGGATACGAAATTAGTTGATTCCCAACTTAAATCATATATGACTAAAAATAATTTTACTTGTGGTGCAACTGATGATAAAGGTCATATCGCTGTGGGAAGTGAAAAAGGGGATGTTAAATTATTTGATTCACTGGGAAAAAATGCAAAAACCAATTTGCCTGCTTTAGGTAGTGGTATTAAGGGTATTGATGTAACAGCAGATGGAAGATGGATTATTGCCACCACCTCTCGTTACTTGCTTTTATTGGATACCGAAATTAAAACAGATCCAAATAGGAAACTAGGATTTGAAAAAAGTTTTCCAAAATCACAAAAGGTTTTGTAATTTATTTATTTATCAGTGTATATTTATTTAGTTTTTTCTTATAAATTTTATTAAAATTTTTTTTTTGCGTAATTAACGATATTTTAGCCAGTCCCAAGAAGATTGCAATTAAAACCAGAACATTTATCATTAATGGAAGTACCCGTAAGTATGATGATGAATATAATCCTTTTAAATTAAATTAAAATAAAATATAAATATATTATTTTTTAATTATTCTTTAATTATTTTGAATTTCAGGTTAATTTCACACCAGCGAGATTCAACACCGGTGAATCAGAAATGGAAAAGACTATAGTTACTAGGTGAAAATATTTTAAATATTTTTTTTTATTTAATTCTAACAACTACAAACTAAATAAATTAAATAAACTAAATAAACTAAATTAAAATTGTTTCCATTAAAGTACCGGACCATTTGTGATTACATGGAACTTTCGACGTGTTAAACAAGGTAAACTCTATGATTATCAAATTAAACGTTACGCTGAGGACATCGTGGCAGATAATTTCCGTTTTGGACAAGATCGTTCTATTGTCGTTACCTTACCACACGATGGTATGTATTTCTTATTCTATAAAATTTTCATGAATTAAATTTATATATATATATATAAGAATTTTATTAAACTAAATACATAATTTATTAAAATGATAATAAATAGTCACTTTAACGAAAAAGAATCATCTGTCAACCCCAACAAAAGCGGTTCTTTCGCCTGCAAGGGTAATTTTACCTTTTATTCGTAATCTCTCTTTTTTATCTCATTTTATTCCAATAATTTTCTAACAAATGAATATTTTAACCTTTTTAGTACCAAAAGAAATCCCCAAATAAAAACAACATAGTAAAATCAAATAAGTAACCTTTTGATATCATATACTAATGATTAATGATGAATTTAATAATGAACTTAATGATGAATTCAATAATGAATTTAAATAATTGAATTTAATAATAAATTTAGTTTAAGATTTTATTAATATGGAAGATTTTATGATTTTGTATTATTTTATATGTATTTTTAAAGTTTTGTTATTAATAAAATCTTTATATTTTTATAACTCATTTATTGCTGCATGTGATTAATTCCAATTCTTTTTAGGTAACCTGAACGGGAGGGAAATCTTCCAAACCTTAAACCTTGTATCCAAATTTTAGAAATGCGGAAAAAAGGGGTTTTAATTATTTATTAGGCTAGTAATTATTGTATAATTTAAATACTACGCTATGCTTAATTTACGCGAAATAATTTTGATTTTAAATATCTCGATAAAATAAGAAATTAAAATTATGTATATATATAGTGAACACTATTCTTCTATATATTCATAATAATTTATTATATAATTTATTATTGTTAAATCTTTCTTCAGTATTAAATAATTCAATATATACTGAGAAACATAACTAACAAATGAAACTAAGGATACTCTCTCTATAAGCGAATTATATCCGAGTAGACAAAATTCCTAGAGAACATTACTAAGCACACCCTTGGAAAACTTGAAAAAAAGGAATCTTTGAGTCTTCATGAGAAATCTTAAAGCCATGAAAAAAAGATACTAATGTTCCAAAGGAACCCATGTTTGGATTAAATCAGGAGTTACAATAATTACCAATGTACCAATTGGACTTAGTAAAACTGCGCCACATTTGAATTGATTTTATGTTCTTGGGAATGATAAAAATTGCAAGTTACAATGGTTACTTTGGACCTTTTTGAAGATAATTTAAAAAACAAAAAAAAATAATAATAAAAAGGGACCACCTTTTTCTGGCATAATAAGTAACCTATTTAAAAAGGTCTTTTGTGCAAAAATCACAAAATAATAGTTAATTCAATTTAATAAATTTGAATAAATTTGTAATTAAAGTAACCAATAGTGACAAAAAAATTTTTTCGTTCATATAAGAAGGAATTAAGTTTATAGGCGAAAAATTTCAAGTCTAGCGATTACGCCTACGTTTGTGTAACAATTAGGTGTCCCTAGATATTTATTATATTATTATTGGGCGAAGAAAAAAAAAAGATATATAAGTATTTAGAACGCTCTGGAATTTTTTTTATATTTCGAGGTAAGAATACTTAAGTACGTTTTAACTTTTTCTATATGAACTTATCATTTTTAATTAATAAACCTTTATTTTTGGTTTATTTTCAATTTTGAAAATTCACAAATGTGAGAAAATATCGAGAATTATTTTATAATAATAATAATAATAGTAATAATAATAATAATAATAATAATAATAATAATAATAATAATAAAATTTCAGATACCTCCAATAATTCAAGTCCCACCTTTTCCCCTGGTGTCAACGTACATTCAACAGCTACTATCTCCACTATATTAGATAGTAGTAGTAATTTTACAAGTTCCGACGTTCCTATTACAAATATTACAAATAATATTATCGACAAGCCTATGACCACTATGGTTACTCCTCTAAATAATCAAGAGGTAGTAACTCAATATAATAACGAGAGTTCCACACAAGAAATAACCCGGGTAACACTTTCAAGCATTCACAAAGTCGAGGGTAATAAAGAACTTGACGCTCCAGCAATTCCTATCATGCATACCGATTATCGTTTAACAGTTGAAAATGTGAATTCTTCTAAAGTGTTTGATGTTCCTACAATCAACTCGGCCATATCACCGGAAGCTTTAAATAGTCTTAATGGAAGCGAATACAAATGTCCTAAATGTAATCGATTATTCTCCCGAAAGTTTAATATGCGATCTCATCTCGCAACTCACGATTCCGAAAGAATTAGACCATTTACATGTGAATATCCTTCTTGTGGTCTCTCATTTACAAGAAAACACGATCTCAAAAGACATATAATCGGAGTTCATGAAGATCAAAAAGAATTCAGTTGTCCTTATTGTGAGAAGAATTTCGCCCGAAAGGATGCATTCAAAAGACACACTTTAACATGTGCTTTAAATGAAACCGATGATGATGATAATGGTGAGAGTAACTCTTCAAATAAGAATAAATTTCATATTAATCATGGAATAACAAGAAGATCATATGATTCTACTGAAATAGGTGACAGAGTTCATACCAGATCGGTTAGCCGTGGAATAATGAAAAGAATTATTGATGAAGACTCGGATGATTCTACTGATGAAGTTTTGACTTATGTCAATGTAAGAAGAGGTAGACCACCAAAAAGACAATTAGATCCTGACAATGATGAATCTACCACCAATACTACTGAAATTAAGGCAAAAAGGGGTAGACCTAGAAAGATACTTTCACCTGAAGAGGAATCCAGAAGGAAATCTGCTGTTCCAAGAAAAAGAGGTAGACCAAGAAAGGATCCCCAAGATAAGCCTATGAAAACCACTATTAAAACTGGTAAGAGAGGTCGTCCAAGAAAGATAATTGATCCTGATGAACAAAAACCTGTTAGTACTAATGGCAGAGGTCGACCAAGAAAAATTCCAAAGGTTAATGAGGAACCTACATCAACTTCAACTATTAGTCGTGGGCGTGGACGACCAAGAAGAGAACCTGAAGACAATAAGGTTGACAATGAAAATACTAATGAAGATACAAATGATACTAAAGTAACTACTAACAAGCGTGGACGACCACGAAAAATTCTTCAAACTGAAGATATTCAGCATGATCCAAATGAACCTATTATTATTAGGAAACGTGGACGACCAAGAAAAGATTCACAAGATGATGGAAAACCCATTAAGATCAAATCAAATAAACGAGGACGACCACGAAAGGATCAAGTTAATAAACTTGAATCACAGTTATTGGTTTCTAATAATAATAATTCTGATGGAGCTGAAATTGATGAATTAATTGATGAATTGATTTCAAATTAAAGTTAAATAATATAAATAATACTTAAAAAAAGTCAACCAAAGATATTTTTGTAAAAATTCATTTAGTTTCTTTTCTTAATGATTTTATTCATAAATTGAAATAATAAAATTTTAGTACCTTTATAAATGTCAAATTGAATTATAAAAAATATTTTTTAATTGTTACTAATTAATATTATTTTTTTTGTATTTGATTTATGATTGCAATTGTATTAAAAATTATCTTTTTCAAATAAAAATAATACCTGATATAGTAACTTACAAAAGTAATATATCATCTGATTTTTTATATTTAAAAAATTCTAGTATTTAAACAAGTTTTGAGATTTTTTTAAAATACTTTTATCAAATTTATAATCTTAATTTTGCATAAATGAACAATCAACATTAAGAATTGTTATTTAATAAAATTTCAATTGTGAATAAAATTTTATACAGAATGGTTACAGTCAAGATGATTATAAGATTAATTGTTCTTTTTAAAAAAAATATGTATGTCAAATTTCATAACAATTAGTGATTATCAAGAAATTAACTTTTGAAATTAAAATTTTACATATAAAATAAATAAAAAAAATTTAGACACAGTGATTTACAAAAGTATTGTAACACCAGATTTTTTGTCTTTAAAAAATTCTAACTCCTAAACAATAGATTTTAGAATAATAGTTATTATTCATATTTTAATCTTTGAGATTTGAAAATTTTTTTAAGATGTTTTTGATATCAAATTTATAATTCTAATTTTGCATAAATAGGTAATTAACATTGAGAATTGTTACCTAATAAAATTTCAATTGTAAATAAAATTTTACACAGAATGGTTATAACCAAGATGATTACAAGTTGATTATTCTTCTTGAAAAAAATAAACATGTCAAATTTTATAAAAATTGAATTAGTAATTATCAAAAAATTATCTCTTGAAAATTGAAATTGTATATATATATATAATTTTTTTATTTATTTTGTATATAAATTTCAATTTCAAAAATTAATTTTTTAGTAATCATTAATTCAATTGTTATTGAATTTGACATACTTATTTTCTTTAAAAAGGACAATTAATTTTATAATAATCTTAACTGTAACTATTTTGTATAAAATTTTATTCACAATTGAAATTTTATTAAATAATAATTTTTAATATTAATCACTTATTTATGCAAAATTAAAATTATAAATTTGATATCAAAATATTTCAAAAAAAAAAAATTTTTTTTTTTGTTCTAATAAGGTTTAGTCTATACTTGCACGTAAAATTATTTTGGAACCTCGAAATTACAATTTTGAGGAAAAAAGTCGAAATAGTTTTTCATAGAAGACAAAATTATTTTACTTAAAATCCGAAATTCTTTGACCACCCAGATTTATTCTTTGATTAAAAATACATATAACTGGATACTTTTTTTACTTCCATATATAGAATAGATTTTGCATAAATCTCAAAAAGTCGAAATACCTCAAAAATCCAAAATCAATTTTGGGAACATGTATAGTTTAGTCTCAAATTTATTAATTAAAAAAGAGAAAACCTTTATATTATTTTTATAATATAAAATATATAACTTATTCTAATACTTAAAAAAATAATATTTAAACTAACTCATATAATACAGGTCAAATATAAAAGATATACTATACTAAAAAGAAATTCTAATTTTAGCTAATTTATAATATAGAATATAATAAAATAATTGATTTTTACTAATTTTTAACAATTTATAATATAAGAATTTTTATTTTTAATATAGGAATTATCATTTGGTACAGTAATTCTTTTGTATTTAACTAGTGTGAAAAATACTTACAACCTACTATTTGACAAGTGAACTTGTTCTCAGTATGTTAAGGTTCTGCTGAAAAATTTATTTTATACATTTCAGTTCAATTAATAATTTTACTAAAAAATCTATATTACCATAATGTTTTAGAATTATCTTGTTCTGCTTCTGTACAATAATATTATTACTATACTTCACAGTAAAATAATTATGTCAATTAATAAAACAATTATGTCAAATTATATCTGCAAATTATTTTACTTAGTAATACCTATAAAAAATTATAATATATCAAATTATATTAGTGTTATGTCAAATAAGTATAATTATTATTACTATTATTATTATATTTATATTTACTAAATTTTCAATATTTTAATTGTACTTTATATTAGGAATTTTATAAAGATATTCTAATATATTATAAATATGAAACGTTAAAATAATATACTAAAAATATTAATTCACAGGTCGAAATCCATATTTCAGGCATATATCAGGGACCAATCGGGTAGCTATCGGGGGGACCAATAGATATTCGATAGGTGCCCGATAGGTATCCGATAGGTGTAATATAAATATGTCAGGGATCTATCGGTCACCTTATAAAAATCGGGTGCCCGATATATTTTTTAATTTTTTTTAAAAAATTTTTATGTCCCCAATATGTGTATTAAATATAACTGAATGTAATATTTATCAGGTTACCCGATATGTGTAAATAATATCGGGTAGCCGATAATTGACAAATTTTAAATATTTTGTTTATATTTAAAAGATCTAAAATTTTATTTATTAAAGTAGATCTGATCTGATTTTTTTTTTTTAAAAAGTTATTTACCTCTTCTCTTACTTACCTCTTCTCTTACTTACTTCTT